TCTCTCTCTCTCTCTCTCTCTCTCTCTCCCTCTCTCTCTCTCTCTCTCTCTCTCTCTGTCTCTCTCTCTCTCTCTCTCTCTCTCTCTCTCTCTCTCTCTCTCTCTCTCTCTCTCTCTCTCTCTCTCTCTCTCTCTCTCTCTCTCTCTCCCCTTCTTCTTTGTTTTTCTCTTGGTCCTTGCTTTGTCATTCACTCCTGGCCAATCCTTCCTCCATGGCTGCCTTCCTCAAGAGGGGGCTGGATTTTTGATTGGTTGTGCCATTTGTCTCCCTTTCTCTCTCTCCATTTTTTTTTTTTTTTTTTTTGGTCCAATAACAAAATTCTTTTTTTAATCCACACAAAGGCATACAAGCCTAGGCCTACACAATAACCAGCCCCTACGGCTGCCATCTTGCCCTGGCCCCCATGGCCTATACTACGTTCCAAGGCTCCTAACCAGCCTACGCACCACCGGTGCATCCACCTACGCCCCCCGGCATAGTGGCAAGGGGCGCCGCCCCATGGGTCCTCTCACACCACGGGTGTGGGACCTTGTGCGCCACGCCCTCCCATAGGGCAATTGTTTGCCATATGGCCGGGCTGGCCGCAACGGAAACACACCCCCTTGAAGCGGGGCTCGTGGCAGCCCGCGGGTGGCATGCCCTTGCTTTCCGGTTCACCGTCTCGAGGGGGAAGGCGGCCTCCGCGGGCGAAGCCGGTACGTGCACGCTTGAGGGCCGCCACGTCGGCTACCGCGAGCTTGTAAGAGCGGGACGTGAGCACGCTCTTGGCTTGGTACAGCTGGAACCGATCCGCCGCTTCGAAACCGGCCTCATCCGCCACCAAGAGCACCTCGAAGCGTTTGTTGATCAACGTTTCGATTTGCTCCACGTTGGAGAGCGCGCCCTCGACGTCGCCGTTTTGGAGCTTGAACTCGACGTGCCTCAGGTGAGCTTGAATTGCGGAGAACACCTCCGCCTGGTCACGCACTCCCTTGCGCATGAAGGTAGTAGCTGCGGGTGTAGGGTTAAGGGGGGGAAGGGGAGGTGCGGGTGCGAGAATGCGACGACGAGCAAGGTTGTCGGGGGCCTCACCGTCTTCATTTTCCGAGTCGTCGCTGTCGTCGGGGATACGGGCTTGGGTTGGTGCCGGAGCCGGGGCGGGGGGCAGGAGCAGCGTTGTTGGTGCGAGCGATTTTGGTGGAGCGGGGGGCTGCGACGTTTTCCTTCTGCTTTTCGATTTTAGCGGAAGCGGAAATTTCTTCCGTTGATGTAGCTGCAGTCGATGGAGCGTGCTGCTGCAATAACGAGAGCAGCGCCTGCAGCTGCTGCGCAGTCAAAGGGGGGGGTGCGTTGACCGGGTTGACGTCAGCGGAGGGTGCCGCGCGCTGGCGTTTCTGGGTCGTGGGCCCGGATGGACCCGCGTCAGCGCCGGTCAAGACGGCCGCCGCGTCAGCGGCGGTCGTCGTCTTCTGCGCAGCACGCGCGTGCCTGCCAGGCACGCGCTCTTCAGCAGCAGCCACGCGCGACTGTACAACAGTCGCACGTTCCTCAGGGGGGGTCCGAAGGGTGCCTCCGAGCAGGAGGTCGACCGCCGAGGGTCCCTCGCTTGAAATTTCTTCGGCGGGACGTTTTCCGCCGCGACGATCCGTTGTCCCGGCCGGAGTCGAGGTTTCCGCCGCGTTACCGGGGCTAGAAATATTCGAGTTGTCGCGATTAAGTGCCGGGTTGACTGGAGCCATCGCTGCGAGGTTGCGCTTAAGGATGTCGTTAAGAAGCGTTGACGGGGCAGTGAAGCGCGGAAGCGATAGAGTCTTCGCCAGTGTGGACGAGAACGAAATTAGAACTACAATTTTGAAAATGAAAACGTGGGTGGGGACGAATGTCCCCACGTCCCTCTTTTGTAGGCAAAAGAGGGTGAGTAGCGCTTCGGCGCTACCTTTGCTGTGTTGGCCACGTACCCCTTTTCACAATACAAAATTTTAGAAAGTGTTACATTTCATTACACTTTCAAAAATTATCATGTCACTTTGCCCGCGTGCCAGCTCATCCTGACTGGACGTGCAACAAGTGAAGCCTTCGAAAGTCAAACACATTGAAAATGGGTGTTGACTCATTTGAAATTCGAAATTCGTTACCATTTTCAATTGCATTTTTTTTAAAATAAAATCCGCACTTCTCTAGGATGTGGGGGGGGTCTTATAATGTTAGGAGCCATTTAGGGGGTATAACTCAGATGTACTCGAATAGAGTACCCGGGTCCGTATTATAGACCCGGGGGTCTACAATTGGGGGGGGTCCTATATACGAGGGATTATGGTATCTAACCTCCTAAGGGGAAAGAAAAAAACTGACCAGCACAGGTCATACCGGTACGTGTGAGACACAAGGAACATTAGTCAGGCCGCATGGCTAGGAGCTACAACAGTCATTGAGGTGCACCACCTCATGAGGCGTGAAGATATGTGAAGAGCAGTATCCAAACAAGCTGCAGTGGGGCCAGCAGAGATGACATGTGAGCATGGCACGAGAAACGAGGAAAGGATGCTTGCGCTGAGCAGCATAGGAATAAATAAGACTGACCAGGAAGACGCCAAATGAGTTGAAGAGGCCCTCCTGCAGCAGTGCCCCATGGCCGCCCAGCTCGTCCGCATCCACCTTCACCACGAGTGTGTAGTACCCCATCACTAGGGCTGTGCTCAACACCAGGAAGCTGCCTCACCGGTGGAACAAGGGCAATGAGAGAAAGAAACAAACTCGCTGGCATGTGATTGGAGAAATAGCAAGTCGTTGACTTGATTGGGCGCCTCCTGTTTACATCACTGACTTGCTTTTCTGATAGTTAACACAGATTCAAGCAAGGTACACAATCAAACTGACAAAACCAACCCCAAACCAGCATCACTACCTGGCCTACAACCCACCACCCAAACTAACCCCACCATCCCTACCTCCCCACACAGCTGCCACTGACCCGATAATCCCAATGCCGCCTGTGATGGGTGCGATGCCCCACACAAGGCCAAAGAGCACCGCGAGCACCTGGCGCATCCAGTACAGCACGTCCTTGAACGCATCCTGCACCAGGGGTGAGCGCAAGAGGGAGGGGGCAGCAGGCGGCAAAGGAGGTGATGGAATGGAAGGAGGAAAGAAAATTTCTATTTTTCAGGACAAACATATGTTGCTTTTGTAAAAGAGGGACATTGACCTCATACCAACCACGCTGAGCTTGGTTCTGCGCGTTGGAAGAAGTCAGAAATACCTGCCGCTACCATAGTTTCCACCTCATGCGCATCTCTCTTGCCCACGTTGTACCTGACCTGTTGACCATGTCAAACATATGTTATATTGTTTATATCTAGGCTGTAGTGGGTTAGATACTAGAGGGTATAGGGTTGTTTCTTGTACCTCTCGAACTTCTCCTAGTGCAACTTTTCTCTCGACTCTCATATGGTAGAGCTTAGGTTCCTACCACGGGCCCACCTTTTCTAGACTTTTTTTTACCTGCCCGAGGCGCGCTTTGCGCCCTGCCCGAAAATTTCGCGGCCTCTTAGAGGCCTGCCCCGTTAAGGAGCGTCGCGGCCCCCTCTAAGGCCCGTTCGCGGCCCCTTAATCCCCCTTCGCGGCGCTTCGTGTTCTCCCCTTCGCGACGCCACGCGACCCTTTCGCGGCCCCTTGAGGCCCTTACGCGTCGCGTCGCGGCCCCTACGCCGCCCTTCGCGGCCCCTTCGCCGCCCTTCGCGGCCCCTACGCGGCTCATTGGGGTCCCTTCGTGGCCCCGTCGCGGCTCCCTCACGGCCCCTTCGCGGCTCTTCCGCCGCGCTTCACGGCCCTGTCGCGGCCTCCTCCGCAGCTCGTCGTCACCAGCTGCCGCCGCCCTGCCACCTTGCCGCCGCCTCGGCAGCACCTGCCGCCGCACCTGCAGCTACTGTCTCTCGCGCCTCGGACGTCGCCGCTCCTGCCGTGACGACCGCCGCCACTGCTGCTGTGCCAGCCGCCGCTGCTCTTGCCGTGACACCTGCCGCTGCTGCACCTACGACAGCAGCCGCCGCCGTTGTTGTGTCAGCCGCCGCCGCTCCTGCCGTCCCAGCTATCGCTGCTACTGCTGTGACAGCCGCTGCCGCTGCTGCAGAGACAGCCGCCGCCGCCGCTGTTCGTCGGAGCCACCGCCGCCGTCCCGGCCCTGTTCTGCCGCCCTTTCGCGGCCCTGACCTTGCTCGAGCGCCTCGGCCCTGCCCCACCACCTTTGGCCTTCTCTAGCCCGCCCCTGGTAAGCGCATCGCCGAGTCGCGCCTCAAACTGCTACTACCTCACCTTGCTTGCTTTCTCTGCTGCTGCTAGCCTGCGTCGCCTGCTGCCATGGCTAGCCCTGCTGTGCTTACCTTCGATGCTGAGGGGCGAGCGATAGATTTTGAGGTCTGGCTTGACGACTTGCAGCTGTTCCTGCAGTGTGATAGCAAAGACGATGTCTCGCTGCATGACCTCACGTCTGGTGCTTCCCCCCAGCCTGCTACTGATGCTGATGCTACTGTGCGCTCTCGCTGGAACACTCGCGATGCTGCTGCCCGCCTTGCTGTGCGTAGTCACCTGCCGTCTGCTGAGCGTGCGCACTTCACTCAGTTTAAGACCGCTAAGACCCTGTTCGATGCTGTCGTTGCACGCTACTCCTCCCCTGCCTCTGCTGCCCTTAGCCGCATTATGCTGCCCTACCTTTTCCCTGACCTCGCTGCCTTTGCTACAGTTGCTGACCTCATTACGCACCTCCGCACTAGTGACACTCGCTACCGCGCTGCGCTTCCTGCTGAGTTCTGCGCCAAGAACCCCCCCCCCATGTACATCACCCTCTACTACCTAGTCACCCGTCTTCCTGACTCCCTTCGCTCAGTCAGGGACCACTTCCTAGCTCTCTGCCCCACCACACTCACCGTTGACCTCCTCGAGAAGGAGCTCCTTGCAGCCTAGCAGAGTATAGCCGCTGTCGGAGCCTCTCGTGGTGACCCTCGTACCCCTATCTTTGAGGGGTGCTCCCCTGTTCCCCTTTTGCCCTCTGTTGCCTCTGCTGCTGCTGTCGACCTCCTTGGCACTGAGTCGGTCGGAGCTGCGTCTGCCCCTGGCGGGAGGCGCCGCAACAGCAAGGGCAAGGGGGGCAAGGGTGCTGGAGGAGCTGGCGGGGGTGGTGGTGGTGGCGGTGGGGGCGGCCGGGGGGGTGGGGGTGGAGGTGGGAGTGGGGGCGGGGGTGGGGGCTCTGGTGGCGGCGGTGGAGGCGGGAACAGTGGCAGCGGCGGTGGGACTAAAGGAGGTGGAGGTGGCGGCGGAGGCAGTGGAGGCGGCAGTGGCGGGGGTGGCGGTGGTACTGGTCGGGGTGGCTCGGTGCAGAGGGGAGGCTCCGGTGGTGGACAGCGTCCGCAGCAGCAGCGCTCTCGTGAGGCCCCGCCGCCGCAGCAGCTTCACCAGTGGTACGCTGGGCGTCAGCGGCCTGGGGGTGCTGGTCCCTGTACGTACTTCTTTCGTACTGGTGACCGCACTGGAGAGCAGTGTGGAGGCGCGCACACCACTCAGCGCTGCTTCGGTCGCCTGACAGACGCCTGGCGTCTTAGGTTCCCTGAAGCCACTGAGCTCCCTCGCTGGCATGAGCTGCTTAGGTCGGGCGTTGCTATCTTTGATCTTGACTATGATGCTATCCTTGCTGCCATGTATGTTATGTCTACTAGTGATGACGGTGACTGTTACCTGAGTGTTCCGCCCGACCCGGGCGGTGCAGCTTTTGCTCTAGGTGCTAGTGAGTCTGCTGCTCCAGGTGCTAGTGAGTCTGCTGCTCCAGGTGCTGGTGAGTCTGCTCTCTCAGGTACCACGTCGGCTCAGGCGTCGCACACTTTCACCCTTGACTCGGGTGCTTCCCGCTCCTTCTTTCGAGACCGCACCACTCTTACGCCGCTCAACCGGCCGGTTGCGGTCTCCCTGGCAGACCCCTCTGGGGGTCCTGTCCTTGCTCACTACTCCACTGTCCTGCCGTGTCCAGCTGTCCCGTCTGGCTCCTTGTCCGGTCTTTACCTCCCCTCGTTCTCTACGAACTTGGTGGCGGGTGCTGACCTACAGGATGGGGGAGTTGACCAGTTCACTCCTGCGCGTCAGCGGGTGACCCACTGCACGTGTGCTGACACGGGCCGACACTTGGCCACGTTTACTCGTCGGCCGGGGTCGAGCCTGTACACACTGACTACCGAGTCTCCGCCGGTTGCTGTTCCTGGTCAGGTAGCTGCGTCGGGTCAGGTGTTTGCTGCAGCGTCTCGGTCTGGTCCTGAGTCTGCCCCCTGCTCGTGTCGCCTCCTGTCCCATGAGACTCTTCTCTGGCACCACCGTCTTGGTCACCCCTCCCTGCCTCGTCTCCGAGGCATGGCCTCTCGTGTCCTTGTCTCTGGTCTCCCCCGGTCTCTCCCTCCCCTCCCTCCGGGGCCTGCCCCTACCTGCGTTCCCTGCGTCGAGGGGCGGCAGCGCGCCGCTCCTCACTCCTCCGAGTTTCCGCCGACAGAGGCTCCGCTGCAGACTCTTCACATGGACGTGTGGGGCCCAGCCCACGTCCGTGGACAGGGTCACGAGCGCTACTTCCTGCTGGTGGTTGACGATTACTCGCGTTACACCACAGTCTTCCCCTTGCGCCGCAAGGATGAGGTCACTGAGGTGTTGATCGACTGGATCCGCGCTGCTCGTCTCCAGCTCAGGCAGAGTTTCCGCTCTGACTTTCCTGTTTTGCGTCTGCACTCCGACAGAGGTGGGGAGTTTTCCTCAGGCCCTCTGCGAGCCTACTGTCGTGCGAGGGGCATCCGCCAGACGTTCACGCTTCCGGCCTCTCCGCTGCAAAATGGGATGGCATTGGCATGGTCATGGATGTCGCTCGCACGTCCATGATCCATGCGGCTGCTCCCCATTTTCTGTGGCCGTTTGCGGTTCAGTACGCGGCGCGTCAGATCAACCTTCAGCCCCGGGTCTCCATGCCGGGGACCTCCCCCACTCTGCTGTGGACGGGGAAGGTTGGCGATGCGTCTGCGTTCCGTGTCTGGGGATCTCGGGCTTTTGTCCGAGACTTGTCTGCGGACAAGATGTCCTCCCGTGCTGTTCCCTGCGTCTTCCTTGGCTTACCCCCTGACGCGCCTGGCTGCAGCCTGCACGAGGAGATCTGGCTGCGCCGCCCACCTGGCTTCACTGGGACGTTTCCTCCTGGCACCCAGTGGAGCCTCCGGCGGCCGGTCTACGGTCTCCGCCAGGCGCCGCGTGAGTGGCACGACACACTGAGGACTACACTTGCGGCTCTTGGGTTTGCTCCTTCTACTGCCGACCCGTCGCTATTTCTGCGCACTGACACCTCTTTGCCGCCGTTCTACATCCTCGTGTACGTCGACGACTTGGTCTTTGCTACAGCTGACACTGCTGGACTCGCCCACGTGAAGTCCGAGCTGCAGAAGCGACACACGTGCACAGACCTGGGTGAACTGCGCAGCTACCTTGGCTTGCAGATCACCCGGGACAGAGCACGACGCACCATTACACTGTCTCAGTCACACATGGTGCAGCAGGTCCTTCAGCGTTTCGACTTCACGTACTCCTCGCCTCAGGCCACTCCTCTGTCTACTCGTCACTCGCTCTCAGCTCTGCCTTCGGATGAGTCCGTAGAGCCGAGTGGCCCGTACCCAGAGCTTGTTGGCTGCCTCATGTACCTGATGACATGCACACGACCTGACCTTGCATACCCTCTTAGCATCCTGGCACGCTATGTTGCTCCTGGGAGACACCGACCAGAGCACATGGCTGCAGCGAAGAGGGTGTTGCGCTACTTGTGCAGTACGTCAGGCATGGGGCTAGTGCTTGGAGGGCAGAGTCTAGTGGTCCTCACTGGTCACGCAGACGCTTCTTGGGTTGACGACCTGGCTACTCAGCGGTCGTCACAGGGTTACACTTTCAGCCTTGGTTCCGGCTCTGTTTCGTGGCGGTCTACCCGCTCGTCGTCTGTTCTCAGCTCTAGTTGTGAGGCTGAGATCTACGCAGGAGCCATGGCTGCACAGGAGTTACGCTGGCTTACCTACCTGCTGACTGACCTGGGAGAGCCGCCTCGTTCTCCTCCAGTTCTGTACGTAGACAACAAGGCAATGCTGGCCTTGTGTCGGGAGCACAGACTGGAGCACAGAACGAAGCACATTGCTCTCCGCTACTTTCTTGCACGTGAGTTGCAGCAGCTGGTCAGCTGCGCCTTGTCACGTTACGTGGCCACTCGGGCCAACACTGCTGATATCTTCACCAAGGCACTTCCGCCTGGTGATCATCAGCGCTTCTGTACGATGCTAGGTCTTGTGCCCACTTGGCCTCACTTGCTCACTTCTAGACCTTGCTTGTACTGCATTTTCTATATACATGCTCTTGCTTGTTTGTCTTTATATATAATCATGCATGTGAACTGGCCTTGTGGCCTTGACCTTGTACTCAGATTTGTGGTGACGTTGTGATCCACTCTGAGCTTGCTTGCTTGACTGGTCTTGTGGCCTCTAGGTCTTCCCCACTTTGCCTATGGGGGTGTGTCAAACATATGTTATATTGTTTATATCTAGGCTGTAGTGGGTTAGATACTAGAGGGTATAGGGTTGTTTCTTGTACCTCTCGAACTTCTCCTAGTGCAACTTTTCTCTCGACTCTCATAGACCACTCAGGTCATCCCCATCCACGCCATCCATGCCGTCCCGCCATCCACGTCATACCTGATCCTCAGCAACATCTGGTTTTAGTAATGACAAGAGCAGACCCGATTGCGACTGCTTCTGTCGGCGTGCAGCGTGACGGGTGGAGGAGGGGGGAGAGGGGGGGAAGGGGGGGTGGTGGGAGCGGGAGTGGGAGGCACGGGAGAACGTGAAGAAAGGAAACGAGGGGCTGTAGAGGAGTGGAGCAGACGCCATTGGGAGTGAAGGGAGCAGGGGAAAGGAGAAAGTGAGAACGAGAAACCCACAGTTGCATATCCCTCTCGTTTCACTGCATCGCGCCCTTCTGTTCCCCAGCTACCCTCACAGCCTCACAATAGCACCATGCCAGTGGCCGTGCGACAGCCTCACAATAGCACCATGCCAGTGGCCGTGCGACAGCCTCACGATCGCACCTTAGTCGCCATGGGGCGGCACTGCGCAAGCCCTCGAAACTCGGATGAGGACCCCTATCGTTGGGACGCCAGCCGCGACGCTCCGATGCGCGACAATCCCCTAAGCGAGAATCGCCTGAGCGATATCCCCTAAACGACGGCCAGGCAGGTGCAAAGATTCTGGATCCACCAATGAGGAACGCGCCGGAGAGAGCGGCCTTGGAGGTGACGGTGGGCGTGAGAAGAGAGAGGAGGCGTCGCACACGGAAGGAAGACGAGGCTGCGAAGAACAAGCACAGGTTGGGTGGGCGGGTGGGGCACACGCACGTGGCGATCGCAGTGATCGAGCCGCGGAACATCATCGAGGCAAAGACCGACGCTCTCTTGCGATAACGGAGCAGCGCCGCAACGGAAACAACCTTATAATCGAGCGTAAGATCTCTCTGCTCTAGCCGAATGCTTGCGACCTCACTATCGGCTTTTCCAAACAGTTTTCCTCAGTCAATTGCCCAATTCGAGACGAAACACTTACTCGCTCCAGCGGATCGCGACGCGTGAGTGGCTTATAGAGGACGAGGCTGACCAGGCATGGAGGTGGGGAGCGAGGAAGATCGCACGTGTGCCAGCGACCGAGAGGTGGGGCCTTGCGAGAGATTCCTGGGCTGAGAGACTGCCTGCCAACAGATTCGTAATCCCTTGAACCAGGTCGTGTAGGGCGCGTCTTCCACCGCCTCGTTCAGTACTCGAAGAGGTGTTCCCCCTCGGATCTCAGCGAGATAAAAAACAACGAATTCGTACAAAGTGAACACACCCGTAAATACAAGGTCGCCTGCGTACATGGGTGGTAACTGGAGCACCAACTCACGCTTTGCCTTACCGTTTCGCGAAACGTTTCGCCGGCTCTTTTTGTTGTGGACATACGCGGTATTGGGCTAGCGCAGTGAACAAGCACAGGTCAGAGAACAAACACTGGCATTTTCAAGTCAATCCCACAAACATCCATCAGTCTGTCCTATCGTCAATCATTGTTTCCTGGGATTCCTGCAGCCCTGGACAGCTTACCGACGCGCGCATGGCTTCCAAGCCTCGCAAAGGCGATGCCGCCGCGGCTGCGAACGGCGGCGATGCGGGCGACGATCTGATGGCGTGGGTGGCAAAGAGTCGCAAGCTGGACGAGAAGCGGCGCGCGGAGAAGGAGAAGGCGGAGCGCATGGCGCGCATGCTCGCCGACCAGGTGCGACTCGCTCGCGTGCCTCCGCCGCTGTTTTTCCTTGCGTGTTTAGCCTCACCTCGTGTCGCTTATCCGTCGCGATACGAAAGCGTGTCCTCGTGACGCTTGTCCGTTGCCATGGATTGCCGTGGCGTGGCGAGGGAGTGAACTAATGTCACTCATTTGTCTGCTGCTTGCTGCTTAGCTCGATTCGCCGCTGGCCCGCATATTGTCGTCTTTTACTGATGCACTTTGTATGTATAAATCATGCCGTTTTTGTTCTCCGTTTGGGTGTGCGTGCGACGTGTTTCCTTGACAAAGGCAATGAAGATTTTATTCCCCGCAGTGCCGTGCGCTTGTCGGTTGTGATCTCACCGCAGGACGACGCGGCCGCGGAGGACGAGCACGACGACGAGCAGCGAGGAGGGTGGCAGCGGTCGTTGCGACCTGAGTACACCTCTCGTGAGCGCCCACTCCCGCCCCCCACCCGGACCACCCCTTTCCCCCACACCCCCTCTACCCCGCTCAACTTCCCTTGTCGCAAGCCGATCCGCACACACCCGTCATGCGTGTTTCCTCCTGCTGCCTCTCCCTCACCCCCCACCCAGGTCATGCTGTTGTCTTCTTCTCTTTTCCCTCAACTGTCTTCCCCTCCCCAATCCCTCGCTCTCCTTCCCATCGCCAGCTACCTCACTCCGTCCCCCACCCACCCCCTCTCGTCCTCTTCCCCCCTTTCTCTTTCCATTGCTGCTCCCCGCCGTACGCCCTTCCGCTGCGCCGTCCCCCTGTGCGAGCGTGCAGGCGATTTGGCGGGGATGAGGGTGCGGCACGGGGTGGGCGCGGTGCTGCAGGAGGGCGCGGCCGTGGTGCTCACGCTCAAGGACGCCTCCATCCTCGCGGGGGATGATGTCAATGAAGGTAATGCAGCCACCAGTGGCGTGCCTTGCGTGAGAGCGTGTGTGTGTGTGCTGCTCCCTGCCTCTCCCTACCGTGGTGCTCACACTCAAGGACGCCTCCATCCTCGCGGGGGATGACATCAATCAAGGTGCTCATGCCTGCCTGCCTGCCTGCGTGTGTGTGTGAGCGTACCACCCCCTGGGATGAAGGGTACAATGGGTACCGATGGGTCCGAGTATTGTTGCTTGCTTCCTGCCCCTCCATATCGCCTCGTTTTCTCAATTTCCTCTCCTTGCGCTCGCGCCCCACCTCCTTGTGCATCATTTCTCTTTGTCCCCTCATAACCTTAAACCTTCTCCATTCTCCTTCTCCCCTCCTCCCCTCTTAGGGCGGGTCCCGAAAGTACAAGTACAGTTCAAAACGTGAACAGTAACCACAAGTTTGCATTTCGCCACTCGCCAATCTGTTCGTCTGGACACGGCGCCAGGCTGTACAGATTTTACAGACGCATTTCGTAACTTGTACTGCGTACTGAACAGACACGTCCCTGACACAGACAGAACATGAAGTGAAGTCCTCCAGATTCGCAGCATCTCCCTTGTGCGAAATCTGCATGCTGTCGCAAAACCCAAAGCGACAGTCAAATTGGTCAATTGACGCCACAACCCCCCTGCACACACATTCAACCCCCTCAACCCGTCAGTCCAGCAAAGCGAATTTCGCGGCATTGTTGACCTGGTAACTAGCCGAGATCTTGACCACGCTGCGCGGCACTGTAGTACCGCGAGATTGTGTCAGCTTTTCCGAATTGGGGAAATTTCGTTGTTTTGCATTACGTACCTGGTACGTGTGGCAACCGCGCTCTTGTACGTGCTGTTTTACATAAAACTGGGTCCCGAAAGTGCTTACGTACTTTCGGAACCCGCCCTTACCCTCGTTCCCTCCTGCACTGCCTCCCCCCCTCTGTTCCAATTCGCCTCCACCTCCACTGAACACGTGCGGGGCGTGCTGTGTGCTGTGTGCTGTGTGCTGTGTGCTGTGTGCTGTGCGTTGTGTGCTGTGCGCTGTGTGCTGTGTGCTGTGCGCTGTGTGCTGTGTGCTGCGTGCTGTGTGCTGTGTGCTGTGCGTTGTGTGCTGTGTGCTGTGTGCTGTGTGCTGCGTGCTGCGTGCTGCGTGCTGCGTGCTGTGTGCTGTGTGCTGTGCGCTGTGCTGTGGGCTGTGTGCTGTGTGCTGTGCGCTGTGCTGTGGGCTGTGCGCTGTGTGCTGCGTGCTGTGTGCTGTGTGTGCTGTGTGCTACGGGTGGCAGAGGAGGACGAGTTGGAGAACGTGGAGGTGGCGGAGCAGAGCCGGCGGGACAAGGCGTACCGCGCTGCCAAGAAGACCGCCAGCATTGCCGACAAGTCAGTGAGAGCTACGCCGGGTTGGGATGAGAGCGTTGCATGGAGTGCTGTACACAGAGAGAAAATTCACAGGCACGTTCCAACGGCTTGCCTTTCTCATTTACTGCCCCCCCCTCATCTACTGCCTCTCACCCTCCTTGCTTCTCGCCCTCCGTCCCTCTCAACCTCCTTGCCTGTCGCCCTCCCCGCCTCCCGCCCTCCCTGCCTCTCGTCCCCCTTGCCCCGTCCACTGGAGCAGGTTCGCGGAGGACGAGGGCGAGAAGAAGCCCATGCTGCCACAGTATGACGACGGGCAGGAGGACGAGGTGAGGGCAGGAGGAGGAGGTGAGGGCAGGCGGACGAGGTGAGGGCAGGAGGACGAGGTGAGGGCAGGCGGACGAGGTGAGGGCAGGCGGACGAGGTGAGGGCAGGCGGACGAGGTGAGGGCAGGAGGAGGAGGTGAGGGCAGGAGGAGGAGGTGAGGGCAGGAGGACGAGGTGAGGGCAGGAGGACGAGGTGAGGGCAGGAGGACGAGGTGAGGGCAGGAGGACGAGGTGAGGGCAGGAGGACGAGGTGAGGGCAGGAGGAGGAGGTGAGGGCAGGAGGACGAGGTGAGGGCAGGAGGAGGAGGTGAGGGCAGGAGGAGGAGGTGAGGGCAGGAGGACGAGGTGAGGGCAGGAGGAGTGAGCAGTGGGACTGCGATGGCAGAGTGGAGTGTTAAGAGCATGGATTTGCAAGCGGTTCATGGTGATTGCGTTCAAGCTTTTAACGAGGCGTTTTAACAATGCTCATGCGCTCATCAACCCTACTACCTTTCCCCACTCTCCCCTTTTTTCCTTGCCGCCTCTTTTCTGCATTGACGGCCATGGCTGGGGTGTGGTGTGGTGGGTGCACGGCACGGGCACGGGGTGGGCGGCAGGGCATAGTGCTGGACGGGTCAGGCGGGCTGGACGAGGCCACTCGCTCGCGACTGGACCAGGTCAGGCGAGATGCGAGGGAGACAGGTGAGGTCAGGGGGGGAGATGAGACGAGGGGGGAAGGCAAGGGGGAAAGGCAGTGAAAAGAGCGAAAGGGGGAGCAGTGATGTTTTGTCTATTGACTTAGTAAGTCTGTTCTTCTACCCGTTAAATCTCTCCTAGCTAGATACAGTCAGATCCAGCTATACAGTAAAAACGGCCTCCTGCTATGCTCCTAACATTTATTAAGAGTTGACACTGCAATCGTGGTGGTAGCTCGCTGCAGTGTCTCCATGTTGCTCTCACCCTCTCCACCTCTCCGTGTTGCTCTCACCCTCTCCACCTCTCCGTGTTGCTCTCACCCTCTCCACCTCTCCGTGTTGCTCTCACCCTCTCCACCTCTCCGTGTTGCTCTCACCCTCTCCACCTCTCCGTGTTGCTCTCACCCTCTCCACCTCTCCGTGTTGCTCTCACCCTCTCCACCTCTCCGTGTTGCTCTCACCCTCTCCACCTCTCCGTGTTGCTCTCACCCTCTCCACCTCTCCGTGTTGCTCTCACCCTCTCCACCTCTCCGTGTTGCTCTCACCCTCTCCACCTCTCCGTGTTGCTCTCACCCTCTCCACCTCTCAGGGAGCTTCCGCCTGCATCATCATTCCGCCGCCCAGCTCCCTCCCTCCCTCTCTCCTCCTCTTATCCCTACTCCCCTCCCTCCTTTTCCTATACCCGCTCTTTCCCATCCCGAATTCCCTTTCCCCTGGGCCCCACCCTGTTCTGTACGCAAGAGTCTGCATGAAACAAAATACTTGTTGTATCGTCTCTCTTCTTCTCACCCCTCGCCCCCTCGCGCCCTCTCTCCCTGACTTACCCCCAACTCTTCAAACTGCCCACGTTCTTGCTCCCACTACTTTCCCCCACAACCCCCTCCCCCCTCTCCAGGTGCGCAGCAGGCTGCAGGGCGCAGCAAGCGCGCTCCCCCCCGCCCCGCACGCGCTGGGGAGCACCACGTTTGGGGGAGGGGCGGATGGGACAAGCTTTGCCACGCCAAAGGTGGCGAGCGACTTCCTGACGGCGGAGGAGATGGAGCAGCGGCGCGCGGCAGCAGCAGCACAGTTCCGAAAGCCCAAGCGCAAGAAGGAGAGCAGAAGAAGACGAGGGGGGGAGGAGGGGGGTGATGAGGGGGAGGGTGGGGGAGGGGAGGGGGGAGGGGGTGTGATGAAGAAGAAGAGGAAGAAGGAGAAATTGGATTTGGATAAGCTAGAGGCGCAGGCTCGGGCGGCTGGTTTGGGGAGAGGTTCGGATCTGGGGCGGAGGGATGGGGAGGGAGGGACGGGGGTGACGGCGAGGCGGAGGGAGGAGCAGGAGAGGGAGGAGAGGGGCGGGCGGGCGGCTTATGAGAGCGCCAAGGCCAAGGCGGTGCAGGCGTCGATGGTGCTTAAAGGGGAGAGAGAGGGTGCAGGGGAGGAGGGTGGAGTGGGTGGCAGGATTGTGAAAGAGGAGATGGATGTGGATGGGCGAGAGGGAGGGGAAGAAGGGGGTGGAAGGATGGTGGTGGTGAAGAGGGAAGAGGGGGAGGAGGAGGAGGAGGAGAAGGGCGAAGGCGAGGAGGCAGGCAGGGAGGGGGAGAGGAGGAGGAGGAAGAGGAGGAGGAGGAGGAGGAGGAGGCGGTGGTGATCGGAGATGACGATGAGGACCTCCAGCGCTCGCTGCAGCGCACCCGCCAGCTCGCCCTCAGGCGCCGGCAAGAGGAGGAGGCTGCTGCGGCTGCTGCTGCTGCTGCTGCTGGCGGGGGTGGTGGGGGTGGAGTGGGGGAGGTGAAGGAGGAGGCGGGCATGGACACGGAGAGCGGTGCTGGTGGGGCAGAGAAGGTGGGGCCGGCAGTGAGGGGTGAGGCGCTGGTGCTGGCGCGCGTGAAGCAGGTGGGGCGCGTGAGGAGGCGGGGGGGCGACGGGGAAGGGGAGGGTGCGGAGGGCGGGGAGGGGGAGGGTGGGGAGGGCGTGGGGCGCGGGCTTGTGTTCAGCGACACGGGGGAGTTCTGCCGCAGCTTGCAGCTCGATGATGGTGAGCTGGCAGGATGATGGTGACGTGGCAGGATGATGGTGACGTGGCAGGATGATGATGACGTGGCAGGATGATGGTGACGTGGCAGGATGATGGTGAGGTGGCAGGATGATGATGGTGAGCTGGCACCCGTGATGAGCTGGGAGAAAAAGAGCAAGGCATGAGGGGAGTGTGGGCATGGAAGCAGTTCAAATCCGCACATTAGAGCAACAATACATCAAGAGGCGGGTCAACGCTACCTGCTTCTTGTATGTACGTTCACCCACTCCCACCCACCTTTCTGCTCCTTCCTCCTCTCCTCTCCCTGCCCCCATGCCCCTTGCCCGGCAGCGCTGGTGAAGCGAGTGAATGCCAGGGAAGCCGCAGCCGCCGCCAAGGAGGAACTGGCCGCTGCTGCTGCCGCCCTCCCCCTCCCCCCTTCCTCCTCTGGTGCTGCCGCGGGGAGTGCAGACGGGGGCGGGTGGATGGAGGTGAAGCGCGACGGGCAGGATGATGAGGACATGGCTGAGGCAGAGGAGGGCACGGAGGGTGGAGGCGAGGGCAAGGGCGCAGGCGAGGGAGCGGAGAAGGGGGAGGGGGCGGGGGCGGGGGCGGGGGAGGGGGAGGCGGGGGTGGATGCGATATCGGAGGCGCCGGTGGGGAAGGGGCTGGCGGCGGCACTGGCGCTGCTGAAGGACCGCGGGGCGCTGAAGGGCGAGGTGGAGTGGGGCGGGCGCACCATGGACAAGAAGCGCAGCAAGCTGGTGGGCGTGCTGGATGAGAAAGGGCACGACCGCCCCCATGCCTTCAAGGAAGTGCGCATCGACCGCATCGATGAGTTCGGCCGCGTGGTGCGTGGGGTGGGGGGGGGGGGGGGGGGGGGGGTGGGTTGCTGCAGGAAATCGGTTCTCTGGCTGGTAAGGAGCGCCCGCACGCCTTCAAGGAAGTGCGCATCGACCGCATCGACGAGTTCGGCCGCGTGGTGCGTTGCAGGGGAGGTGGGGGGGGATGGGGCGCGGGGTGAATTGTTGCATAAGGAGGATGACAGGGTTCCAATGCGTGCGTGGGGTGCGGCACGGCTGTGCAGCGTGGGTTGGAATGGGGCATGGTGTCACACGCCCAGCGACGCGTGACTGAGAAGCACGGAAGCAGAAGGTCGAATGTTAAGTGGGCGATCCACATTTCCGTGGCAAGAGTCAAAGCAGTGGTGTTTCTCCTCTCTCTCTCCTCTCGCACCTCACTTACTTGCCCCGCAGATGACCCCCAAGGAGGCATTCCGCAAGCTGTCGCACGCGTTGGTTCCCGATTGAACTTCCCAAGTCAACTGTAACAAACCCTCGGTGCTGCTCATCGCTCTCATGTCAACCCCCCCACTGCCCCACAGATGACCCCCAAGGAGGCGTTCCGCAAGCTGTCGCACGCGTTCCACGGGAAGGGGCCGGGCAAGATGAAGCAGGAGAAGCGCATGCGTGCGTACGAGGAAGAGCTCAAGCGCAAGGGCATGGCGGCCGGCGACACGCCCATGCACTCCGTGGAACGCCTGCGGGAGGTGCAGGCGCAGACGCAGTCGCCCTACGTGGTCATCACTGGGCATGTCAAGCCGGGGTGAGTTTGCTGCGGGGGGGGTTGTGAGCGTACAGTGGTTGAGTGTGAGAGGCGGTATAAGGGCACGAGGTGTCGTGTGCAGGCAGGGAGTGAGGGATGGAGGGAGGGGAGGTAAGCTCTATTTTCTCGAAATGCTCGTATTATGAACATGTGTGCGCATGTGCTTGCATGCGCTCTCCCCCCCCCCCCCCCCCCCCGTGTGAGCAGGCAGATCTCGGACCCGGCCAACTCGTTTGCCACCATGGAGAAGGAGAGGGAGACAGTGGGCAGCCTCACCCCCATGCTGGGCGACGCCAAGGTCAGGCGCGGGGCACGGTGGGGCACGGTGGGGCACGGTGGGGCAAGGCGGGGCACGGTGGGGCAAGGCGGGGCACGGTGGGGCACGGTGGGGCACGGTGGGGCAAGGCGGGGCACGGTGGGGCAAGGCGGGGCACGGTGGGGCAAGGCGGGGCACGGTGGGGCAAGGCGGGGCACGGTGGGGCAAGGCGGGGCACGGTGGGGCAAGGCGGGGCACGGTGGGGCAAGGCGGGGCACGGTGGGGCAAGGCGGGGCACGGTGGGGCAAGGCGGGGCACGGCGGGGCACGGTGGGGCAAGGCGGGGCACGGTGGGGCAAGGCGGGGCACGGTGGGGCACGGCGGGGCACGGTGGGGCAAGGCGGGACACGGTGGGGCACGGCGGGGCACGGTGGGGCAAGGCGGGGCACGGTGGGGCAAGGCGGGGCACGGTGGGGCAAGGCGGGGCACGGTGGGGCAAGGCGGGGCACGGTGGGGCAAGGCGGGGCACGGTGGGGCAAGGCGGGGCACGGTGGGGCAAGGCGGGGCACGGTGGGGCAAGGCGGGGCACGGTGGGGCAAGGCGGGGCACGGTGGGGCAAGGCGGGGCACGGTGGGGCAAGGCGGGGCACGGTGGGGCAAGGCGGGGCACGGTGGGGCAAGGCGGGGCACGGTGGGGCAAGGCGGGGCACGGTGGGGCAAGGCGGGGCACGGTGGGGCGAGGCGGGGCACGGTGGGGCAAGGCGGGGCACGGTGGGGCGAGGGGGGGCACGGTGGGGCGAGGTGGGCCACTGTGGGGCGAGGTGGGGCAAGGCGGGGTGCGTTGATTGATTGTAAGGGAAGGTGTTAATTGTCAAGGAAGGTGATACGCATGTTGAGTGCTCAACTCATGCGGTGGTAGGGAGAATTAAGGCATTGAGCTGCAGCGACCTTCCCATGCATCGACGGCCCCGATGAGGCGGACAGGGAGCTACGCGGACCAGGGGGGCGGTGCAAACGGTGGGGACTCCAACGAGCCCCTGCTGTACTTAGGATGGGCGGCTGCTGCTGTTCTGCTCCACTGCTTTGCCTCCCATACGCCTCTCCCCCCACCCTCCTTATCCCCTTCGCCCCCTTCACCCTTGTCCGTCATCCCCTCCCCGCCCCCCACCCTGACCACCAGGTGGAGCACTATCTAGGCATCACCAAGCCCCCACCGTCCTCTGTGCCCAGCTCTTCCCGCACGCCCATGGGCCCGCCACGTGCCAAGCCACCCCGCCCCTGACACCCGCACGTGCATCACGCCGGTGTAGCATGATGTGGGATGGTTCACCCGTAGCATGTGCCTGTTTTTTTTCTTTAAACTTTCAATAACTTGTAAGTTCACTATAGTTTTCAAGAGATTTCTCCGAAACCTAGGGTAACGAGAATATCAATTGACTGGTGCAACGCGAGGGCGCGTTTCCCCCTGCGATTCATGCTGCGCACCATTGTATTTTGGAGTGGTTAGAGAAGGTATAAAATGCTTTATGAATGCTAATCGTAGGTGTTTAGTGCGGTGGAGGTTCGATTCTGCATGATCATTCTCATGGTTGAGGTTGAGGGGAATGCGTCCCGAGTGTCAGAATCCCAGTCACTAACCACTGGGATAAAATGGCTTGTTTGTATGGCGGGTGAGTGCGCCCATAACCCCCCAGGCCGACGTGCTTGTAACCCTTCCCTAGGATCATCGGGGATCTCCAGTGGACCTCTGACACCCCCCCGCACTGGGATGCCCGAGGTGCACACACCGGGATTCGAACCCAAGACCTTCGCTCTGATACCATGTCAGAATCCCAGTCACTAACCACTGGGATAAAATGGCTTGTTTGTATGGCGGGTGAGTGCGCCCATAACCCCCCAGGCCGACGTGCCTGTAACCCTTCCCTAGGATCATCGGGGATCTCCAGTGGACCTCTGACACCGAGTCCGACATTGGAACGAACGTGGGGCCCCACAAAACGACTTGCTCCCAAGTGAGCAGTCAAGATAGCAGGCGAAAACGAGAAACAGGCAAAGAGGGGTTTCACTAGCAAGCAGTTGAGTACATATAGGAAACCCTAATTCGGGTTGTACTCGCTATAGAGTACCCCACTGCAGGCTAGACAAACATCACATTCTGACACACCCCCATAGTCAAAGTGGGGTACAATCAACACAACAAGCAGGCAGAGCAATAGTTCACAATTATAAGCAAAGCTAGAGGCTATCACAGAGGGCACGTGAGGAGGAGGAGAAACTGTGGGGGCGAGAAGATGGGAGGCGACGGCCGAAGCTGCAGACACACGGGCAGCAGGAGTGCGCAGCACTGTCGCTACCAGGCTAAACCCGGACTACACGGCGACAGACGCAGCTGGCTCACTGTGCTCCCAGGAGTGCTCACACTGTAGCTACCGGGCGCAGAGCCCCGGACTACTCAGGCCACAGGGGGTCGTGGCTCTCTGGACTACCAGGAGTGCTCACACTGTGGCTACCGGGCGCAGAGCCCCGGACTACTCAGGCCACAGGGGGTCGTGGCTCCCTGGACTTCAGGCGCTGCGGACGACAAGTCGGCTACCTCCGGTCAACCTCCCCCAACTGTCCCACACCCCGTTCACACACTCCCTGTTGAACCACTAGCACCGCTCACACGCCACCCCCCTCGTACCACTCCGACGGCTCCAACACATCCACCCCCCTCAGCGGCAGCTGCAGCAGTGGGAGACGGAGGAGGAGGAGGAGCAGGGGACGGCCCACACACACAGCCGCCACCCCCACACTCTCCACCCCCAAACCCTAAAACAGGAGCGCGGGCAGCAGCAGGGGTGGGGTGCGGTCAGCAGCACGGGGAACGGCGTGCGCAGGCCGACCAAACCGCGCGCGAGCCGCCCGGGCCGCGTGCGGACCTGGCGCAGCCCGTACAGGCCGCGCGCGGGCCTGGCGCAGCCCGTACGGGCCGCATGCGGGCCTGGCGCAGGCCGTACGGGCCGCGCGCGGGCTGTACGGGCCGCGCGCGGGCCTGGCGCAGCCTGTACGGGCCGCGCGCGGGCCTGGCGCAGCCCGTACGGGCCGCGCGCAGGCCTGGCGCAGGTCGTACGGGCCGCGCGCGGCCCGCGCGGGGCCCAGGGGCGCTTCGACGGGCGACGGGGGGCGCTTCGACGGGCGACGGGGGGCGACGCGCGGGTCGACGGGGTAGGAAAAAACCGCCAGGCGCCACGGGCGCGTGGCGGGAAGAAAAAACCGTCAGAAATCCGCCAGGCGCTCCGAGCGCGTGGCGGGAAGAAAAATCCGTCGCGCGCCACGGGGCGCGCGACACACAAGACAGCAGCGGAAGCATCGGGCGGGACCACCCACAGGATCGACCCAGGAGGGTCGACCTGCTCTGATAGCATGTCAAGATAGCAGGCGAAAACGAGAAACAGGCAAAGAGGGGTTTCACTAGCAAGCAGTTGAGTACATATAGGAAACCCTAATTCGGGTTGTACTCGCTATAGAGTACCCCACTGCAGGCTAGACAAACATCACATTCTGACATGAGCCTCATCCAACCCCTTTCAACAAGACAAGAACGGTTGCGATTTCACCAGGAGAACGGACGAACATTTGAACGTTTTCTGGCAGCTGCCTGATTGTCGTCCTCACCATCACACACCACCCCTTGGCTATTCCGTGGGAATGCTCGTGGGTGGTGGCTGTAATTCACGACTAGTCATGACGAGCCTATTGTGAATAACTTTGGTTTCAGGAGATAACTGTATGGCGTAAGGGCGTGAGCAATGAAATAGCTTCGTATCACAAGGCTATTAGTCCTCTTTTTTCCATCATCCAGCGAGTTTCACAACCTTTTCTCGTTGTGTCCGAGTTTACGCATGGAGTCTAGCTCACACATCGACCGACTATTGGACGACCTACATGTTAGAATACTTTGGCATGCCTCCAGAAAACCGCCCTCTTCTATCTTCAACAGCGATACTGCATGCGTCAATGCGACATGCGCCTCGTTTTATCCGAGGCAGAAATACTACTGGACCAACTCTTTACCAGAGGGCTCAAGCAGTTGCCAACACAGCTCTTTCGTACCGATGCCGCCTGCCTTCACCAACTCTGCGCTTAGTCTCCTTATCGCTTCCGTTTGCCGTCGCTGACGACAACTCTCCCAGCGTTACGTCTCGATGCTTCTCGTCAAAGAAAAACTCGTCGTTTTTTGCCAAGACATCGCCAACGCCGTCTCGTGCTTCGCGAACCTTACCCACCTCCATCTGTGCGACGGCAGCGTGGAAACCCTAGACGACGCCTTCCTTTGTCACCTCGCCTCGTCGGTGCCCTAAGCTAAGGGTTCTCCACGTGGGAAGCAGGATCACTGGAGATCCGGCAGACGACGACAGGAAGCACTTACACCCGGTTACCGAAACCGGCTTGGATCAGGTCTTTCAGCGATGCAAGCAAATGGAGGTAATCTCGCTCGATTGCCTGCACTCGAACGTCGTATTTCCAGCCTCGCTCTTCCAGCTCTCGCGCCTCCGCGAACTAGTTCTCCCAGACGCGTCAGCGCTGACCGTTCCCGGCTTTTCAAACCTATCGTCTCTCGTGCGCATCCGCACAACGTCGCTGAACCTGGGCCACCGCCATCTTGTGAATCTCGCTCAGCTGCCGAGGCTTACGGACATTGCGATTAGTTATGACCCCGAGATAGACAATGCGACTGCGATCTCTCCGCTTTAGATCTACAGTCCCTGAAGTTCCTTAAACCCGTCGGCAAGTCTTTCGGCCTGTTTTTTCCCTCGAGATTGCCGTGTACCAGGCTGGAACGGTTGGTGATTGTGAATTGCGACTTTAATGACCGGCTCCTGGATGACCTTGGAGAGGAGCTTGCCGTGTCTCCGTGAGCTGACCCTTCGCTTGTGCAGGGGACTCACCCGGTTGCTCGAAAATTTTACATCTCTGAACCAGTTGGAGAGCCTGACAATCTCCTCATGCTTCCAGTTTTCCAACCTGCCCGACAATTTTGGCCACTTGCCTGCCCTGAAAACATTGTTCCTGCACATGCTGACCCTGACCAACCTCCCCGACTCTATTGGCCATCTCGGATCCCTCGAAAAAAATAAGAGCATTGTTGGTGCAACCTACGGTTTGCACTCGGCTTGTTGTCCGTGTGCGTGCATGCATGTGTGCATGGAGTGGTATGAGTGCATGAAATAAATATATATTTCATGCTTATATTGTGTGTGCATGATGGGTCATGCATTGAGTGTGTGTGTGTCGAGTCTATAGCGAGTTATCGCTAGCCGCGTATTACGCGGTTATTTTGTGTGTCCCGCGCGGTTTCTATTTTGTCGTGCGCGGTTTCTATTTTGTCGATTGTCGAACGTTCGGCGTGTCGCAGGTGTGTGCAGCAGGCCCATCAAGAACTCAAGGATGAGTTTTGTGATGAAGAACCCGAGCCTTGGTTCAAGCTTCAAGTGTTTTCGAAGCTCGCCAAAAAAGGCTACACCTCAAGATATTGAAGATAGTTACATTACAATGTGTAGTGTAACATTTCTGTGGGTGTAGGCCCTTGTGGAGGGTAGTTTCGAGACCCTTCTTGGTTGGGGACAGTGTGGCACTGTTCCCCATCACTGTAGCTCGGTTCTTGGGGTTTCTAGGAGCTGGGAGTCCTTCCCAACTCGTAACTCTTCCTAGTTGTTCGTAATTGTGTTTCTAAAACTATGTTGCTCCTATAGTGCCGTTCGTTCAAACCGACGCTGTGTCGTCAATTCTTGATGAAATCGTGCGATCTAAATTGCTTATTGTAGGCGACGTTGAGACGCTCCAGATCCAAGTTGAATGAGGTCAATTAGAGCTGTGACCAGATCGCTATGATCGTTTGAAGCCGCTGTGCAGAAATCTGACTGCGCACTCTATCTTTGGCTCTAGGCACATTGAAGCCTATTGAAGCCTATTGTGACTATAACAAGTGGTATCAGAGCGCCTTGGAGCAGCTACGACGATGGCTGGACCTGAAGAGAGGGGTGGCAGAGGTGCTGGAGGCAATGGAGAAGCCCAAGCACAAGGCCAAGCCCGTGATTCAGCCGTGGCGCCCGTGCAACCTACTCTTGGGCCTTCAAGGGATGAGCCAAGAGTGTTCGGGCTTGACAAGTTCAACGGCGACAACTTTGCTGAGTGGTCCTTCAGAATGGAGAACGTGTTTGACCACTATGATCTGCTGGAGGTGATGGAAGGAACGGAGAAGCGTCCCGAGAACGACCCGGAGAAGAGCCCGTGGGTGCGGAAGAGCGCACAAGGCTACCTCCTACTTGGGCAAGCGTTGGGGAGCAACCAGATCCGTCACATCAAGCCTTTCCAGCGTGATCCAGAGAAGGGACCAAAGGCATGGGCTGCTCTCAAGGGTGTACACGCTCCTGCAACAGCGGCGGTAGCTGTGGTGTTGGAACGACAAATGGCAACATTACGAATTGAGGAAGATGAACCCGTGGAAGACGGGGTGCAGAAATTCTTCGACTTGTTGACGCGGCTTGAAGGAGCTGATCTCAACTATAGTGAGCTCCAGAAGAAGACCAAGTTGCTGGCCCTACTCCCAGAGTCGTGGTCCTCGCTCATCATCAACCTCAACCGTGACTTGGCCCGCCTCTCGCTTGAAGACGTGAAGCGAGCAATCCTTCAAGAGGACTTCCGCCGCCGTGAGTTGGCGAGTGCGGATGGCGCTGGGGCAGCAAGCGTCGGCCGTGGATATGGCCGAGGAAGAGGCAGAGGACGAGGGGGAGGAAGATTTGGTGGCAGCAACTTCGGTGGAGGCCGCGGGAGTGGCGGTTACGGCAGCGACGACAAGAGCTACGGGCGCGGTCGCGGCCGATTCGACGGCGAGTGTCACTATTGCGGCAAGACCGGACACATGTGGCGCGATTGCTACAAGCTCCCTGAAGGATGGACCCCTGCTCAAGACCAAGAGGGTAGAGGAGCAGGAGGAGGGAGAGGCAGAGGCCGTGGAGGCCGTGGCGGTCGCGGAGGTGGAGCCGCGAACATGAAGAACGAAGATAACGACAAGGACCCGAGCGGCGATCGGTACCCGGGTCTATTCTACTTTGTGTCGACGCAAGTACCGGCTGGTCCAGAGAAGGATGAAGACCTTGAGGAGCCAGCAGCTGTGGGGAAGGTGACCCTACACCCCCTGGACTATTGGGTGATCGACAGTGGCGCTACCTATAGCATGACACCTCGCCCCGACTTGCTCACCGAACTCGAGCCGTCACCGGTGAAGCATGTCACATCGGCTTTGGGGCAGCGAGCAGAGGTGAAAGGCATGGGCAAGGCCATGTTCAAGGGTGCTGATGGAAGGATGGTGGGCCTCAAGAACGTGCTTTGGGTGCCCAGCCTTGCTGCGAACCTGATTTCCGTGCGGCGATTGGCGAAGGCCGGCATGGACACGAACTCGAAGGGAGCCAAGACCTACACCGCAAGGATTGGCGACCGGATTCTATGGGACCTTCACGAGGATAGGGATGTCTACAACGAGATGTGGCAGATCCCTGTGGTCCCTATGCCTAAGGAGAGGCAAGTGGCAGCAAGCGTCAGCACCAAGGGTGACGCGGTTGGTAGCGGCGATTGCGCGGACGGTCGCGCTAAGGAGAAGGAGCCCAAGAAGGGCAAACCTGGAGTGACCAGCAAGCTGCGTGAACCTAAGGAGAGTGGTGCAGCAGCCAAGGAGCAGCACAAGGGTGAGGAGAACCCCAAGGCAGCAGCGAAGGAGGACTATGGAGAGAGTATGTGGGGCGCTATTGCGAGCGCGGCATTCTCCAATCCAACTTCGGCTACGGGGGAGTGTGATTGGCTCACCTTGCATCGGCGAATGGGGCATGTGGCCCTACCCATCTTGCAGCAGCTAGTGAAGAATGAGATGGTTGCTGGCATACGTGTGAAGGGGGAGCCCGATGAGGTGCTTGGCTGCCCAACGTGCTTGCAAGCCAAGTTCACCCGTTTCCCGTTCTCTAGTGCGGAGACAACGGCAAAGGCACCGCTTGATGAAGTGGTGATGGACGTGGTGGGCCCCCTGAAGCTTGGAGCTGCTGGAGCAGAGTACTTCCTCACCATAGTGGACGTCTACACCCGCATGACTTGGGTGTACGTGCTGGCCAAGAAGAGTGACGTGGCTGAAACGTTGAAGACCGACTTTCTCCCGATGGTGGAGCGGCAACAAGACCGACTTGTGAAGTCGATCCGCACCGATCGAGGGGGAGAGTTCCTGGGCAAGGAGTTTGGGTTGTGGCTGAAGAAGAACGGCATTCGGCACTCCCTCACCATGCCATACTCCCCTGCAATGAACGGCATCGCCGAGCGAGCGAACCGGACGATCACGGAGGCGGCACGCGGGTTGCTCATTGAAGCCGGGCTACCCGACTATTTCTGGCCTGATGCGGTGCGGAGCGCGTGTGTGGCCAAGAACAGAGTTTTGACTCATGTGGGAGCAGACAAATGGGTGCCCTATGTGGAGTGGCTTGGAAGGAAGCCAAAGGTGGATATGCTTCGGGTATTCGGGTGCATGTGCATGGCGCTCGTACCTAAGCATCTTCGGCACAACAAGCTTGGTGCCAAGGCGGTGTGGGCCGTGCACTTGGGCATGGCTCAAAACAGCAAGGGGTGGCTTCTTTGGGACCCATTCACCAAGAAGTTCATGGTGAGCAGGGACTGCAAGTTCATGGAGAACTTCATGTACAAGGATTGGAAGGCGGAGAATGAGGCGAAAATAGGCGTGCGGTTTGGAGAGGTGAAGAGTTCCGGGTTGGAGCACGTGGAGCTGCCTTTGGAGCTGAGCAGCGGCAGCACCACCACGAGGCAATCTTCCCTTGTGAATGGGGGAGAGGAGGCCAATGATGCAGAGGAAGAGGAGGAGGAGGAGGTGCAGCAAGTGAGCGAGCGTGCACCGACGCTCCCTTCCCGCACTACGAGCGCTCCACGGAACCGCACCACACCGCAGCAGCGCCAAGGCCTTCAAGTCCCTGCAGCTGAGGAGGAAGGAAGGGGCAAGAGGAGAGTCCAAGCCCCTAATAGGCTGACCTACGATGCGCCGGGGAAGCAGGGCAAGACGGCCCTAGCTGGAGCGGCAATGATGGTCGGAGACGACGAGGAAAGCGACTACGAGGAGTGTGCCTTCGCGTTCTTCTCTCCGGTGGAGATGCCGGGAGAACCAGCAACTCTCAAGGAGGCCTTGGAGAGTGGTGATGCTGAGGAGTGGAAGAAGGCAATGGAGAGTGAGCTGAAGAGCATTGAGGAGAACGACACGTACGAGTTGGTGGAGCTACCGGAGGGGCGTACGGCGATAACGTCCAAGTGGCTCTTCAAGATCAAGTCGGATGCCGACGGCAAGATCGAGCGTTACAAGTCCAGGCTGGTGGCCAAGGGGTACCAGCAGAAGGAGAATGTGGACTACAAGGAGCTGTTTGCTCCTATGGTGAAGCCGACGACGCTGCGAACCCTACTCGCGGGAGCCGCGATCAAAGGATGGGTGGTGAAGCAGCTAGACATCGTCACGGCGTTCCTCAACGGAATCCTCGAGGAGGAGATTTTCATGGCGCAGCCAGAGGGGTTTGATGACGGCAGCGGCAGAGTGTGGAAGCTGAAGAAGGCCCTCTATGGGCTGAAGCAGGCCCCTAGGCAATGGTACCTGAAGCTGCGCGAAGTGTTGGAGGAGATCGGCTTCACTCCCTCAACGGCCGATCACTCCTTGTTCATGCTTGGCGAGGGGGAGCAGAGGAGCTTCATGGTGGTGTACGTGGACGACATCCTGATCTTCTCACCCTCCTCTGACCTTGTGAAGGAGGTGATGCTGAAGCTGCAAGACAAGTTCAAGTGCAAGTCCCTTGGGGACGTGAACTTCTACCTCGGGCTTCACATCGAGCGTGATGTGGAGAAGCGGTGCATGCGGGTGCACCAACGGAAGTACCTAGAGGCATTGGCTGCCAACTTTGGGCAGAATGAAGGCCATGTGGCTACACCCTTTCCCTCTGGGTTCAAGTGTGTGAAGGGACCAGAGGAGGAGAGCGTGGGTGAAGAGGAGAGGCGCCGTTTTCACTCGTTGGTGGGCAGCCTCATGTACGCGGCAGTCAACACACGACCGGATGTCGCGTTTGCTACCGGGCAGCTGGCTAGGGTGGTGCAATGCCCTAATGAGGAGCAGGTAGCAGCTGGAATGAGGGTGGCCAAGTATCTTGGCCAAACACCGACCGTTGGGCTGCAATATTCGGCAGCGGCACAAAGGCGCCAAAAGGGCGCGGATGGTGTGGAACCCGGGCGTTTGTTCCTCACCGCATTCTCGGATGCCTCCTATGCTTCTGAACCAGAGGACATGACAAGTGTTGGAGGGTTCATTTGCTGTGTTGGTGGAGGCCCAACTGCTTGGGAGAGCAAGAAGCAGGTGGACCAAGCATTGAGCTCGGTGGAGTCCGAGTACATGGCACTCTTCCGTGCCGTACGGGAGATTGTGTGGCAGCGGCGTTTGTTGGCTGAATTGGGGGAGGAGCAGCAAGGACCAACCCCTCTCTATTGTGACAGCCAGGGAGCCATAGCTCTAGCCAAGAACCCTGTGTTACATGGTCTGACCAAGCACATGAGGGTGAAGTGGCATTGGACGAGGAGCATGGTGGCCGCGGGTGAAGTCGAGTTGCGCTACGTGAAGACGACGGGGCAGCCGGCAGACATGATGACCAAGAGGCTGGTGGAGCAGCAGCACTGGAAGTGTTGCAAGCTGGCTGGGATGGCTCTGAACTGAGAGAGCAAGTTCCTAAGGCCAACAACCCGAGGGGGAGTTTGTTGGTGCAACCTACGGTTTGCACTCGGCTTGTTGTCCGTGTGCGTGCATGCATGTGTGCATGGAGTGGTATGAGTGCATGAAATAAATATATATTTCATGCTTATATTGTGTGTGCATGATGGGTCATGCATTGAGTGTGTGTGTGTCGAGTCAATAGCGAGTTATCGCTAGCCGCGTATTACGCGGTTATTTTGTGTGTCCCGCGCGGTTTCTATTTTGTCGTGCGCGGTTTCTATTTTGTCGATTGTCGAACGTTCGGCGTGTCGCAGGTGTGTGCAGCAGGCCCATCAAGAACTCAAGGATGAGTTTTGTGATGAAGAACCCGAGCCTTGGTTCAAGCTTCAAGTGTTTTCGAAGCTCGCCAAAAAAGGCTACACCTCAAGATATTGAAGATAGTTACATTACAATGTGTAGTGTAACATTTCTGTGGGTGTAGGCCCTTGTGGAGGGTAGTTTCGAGACCCTTCTTGGTTGGGGACAGTGTGGCACTGTTCCCCATCACTGTAGCTCGGTTCTTGGGGTTTCTAGGAGCTGGGAGTCCTTCCCAACTCGTAACTCTTCCTAGTTGTTCGTAATTGTGTTTCTAAAACTATGTTGCTCCTATAGTGCCGTTCGTTCAAACCGACGCTTTGTAGTCGATTCTTGATGAAATCGTGCGATCTAAATTGCTTATTGTAGGCGACGTTGAGACGCTCCAGATCCAAGTTGAATGAGGTCAATTGGAGCTGTGACCAGATCGCTATGATCGTTTGAAGCCGCTGTGCAGAAATCTGACTGCGCACTCTATCTTTGGCTCTAGGCACATTGAAGCCTATTGAAGCCTATTGTGACTATAACACGCATGCTCCCTCTCATGGAACTTCCTGAATCCTTTGCATGTCTCCCTCTTTGTCTCATCCTTCCTCTTTGGTTGCCGCGCGATCCAGCAGCTTCCAGTGCATTTCGGTCGCCTGGGAGCTCCCAAGACATTACGCATGGTGAAGCAGAAAGAGCTGAAGCTTCCGGAAGGACTGGGGGGAATGGCTAACATCCGGAGCAATTTTCACCGACAAGAGTTCAATCAGCTGCAACTCGGGGACTCACTCAGCCAGTTGACTTCGTTGGCCCAGCTTGACCTGGATTTCATTTCTGATGAAGAGCTTCCTGAGGTGATTGGGAAGCTGGATCAGCTGCGTCAGCTGCACATGCAGTGCTGCTTCAATCTCAGAGAGATTCCAGGTTCCATCACACAGCTGAATAACTTGGAGACCCTCACAATTGGGATGTGCTGGCAGCTCGTGTCACTCCCAAAGAAGCTGGACAGCCTTATAAAGCTCAGACGCCTGGAGCTGATCGGGTGCCACAATGTCATGTGGCTGAACGGAGCTCCTATCTCCTTCCCTTCCTTTCTCGAGTCCCTCACCCTGGGTAGCTACGACCATTCCATTTTTCTGCCAGACCTCCCTGTGCTGCCGTGTCTCAAGAAGCTGACATTGAATTTGGTGGAGTGTGGAAGAGCTTGTGTGTCTAAACCCAATGCATTGCCGCGGTTAGAGCATCTTGAATTGGTGTTGGCAGACGACGCAGAGGAGCTCGCATTTCCTTGGTCTTCCCTGCCCCACCTGAGGATTTTGGAGATCTCCAGGGCTAATGACATTGAGGCGCTTCCAAGAAGCATCTGCTCGGGTCAGAAGCAGCTGCGGCGTTTGCAGATAGATAATGCATTGGAGCTGAAAGTGCTGCCAGGAACGATCTCTCAGCTCCACCATCTGACCTCCTTAAAGGTTCATGCTCCCAAGCTGGCCTCCCTTCCCGCCAGCATTGGTGCACTAGCCAGGCTCAGGGAGTTGGATCTCTCTGAGTGCTCTGCCCTGAAGCAGCTCCTCGGGTTTGGAAGCGCTGGTGTTCAATCTCGCCCTCCAATCTCAGGGTTTTCCACCAATGGATCCTGGTGTTGTAGGTTACATATATGCATTTACGAGGATTTGGTACAATGCAGGTACAAGGACAGTTGCTAACGTGAATACGTACAAGCAGGTGGTGGATGCCATGATGGCTGCTCCGGATGGTTACTATGGGCTCTTTGCAACATCTGGTTATTCCAATGGCGCGGCCCGCAGGCAGTTTGTTTCCGAGAAGGTGATGCTAGCAAATAAGGTGGCTAAATTATTGAAGAGGAGGATTCAGAGGCTGAGGCATAGGAGCTAGTAGGACATTTATGAGTATTAGGATGTAATGTGGGCAATTCTTGTGGCTTGAAAGGATAGCACAAATGCCAGCGGTTACAAGTATGTATGTATGGTGTGATATTCTATTACATTGATGAAACATTTTTGTGCAGCATTTAGTTAATGGACGCTTCCGCAATATTTTCTAATAATATGAAAGCTACAAAATATCAGCTACAAAATTTAGTGTTTTCTTTGATGCCGGAGGCGAATGCTGTCGCCACGCCTCCATCACGGATGTTCCGAACTTACCTAGTGGAGAATCAATGCTGAAAAACGGCTGTTGCCTTTTTGCAAATGGGTGCTCCAGGTACGTGTACATGTCCCATTTGCAAGGCAGCTTTTCGGTGTGGTTCGCGATTCCCCTTGCCCAACCGATCGTTAGTGAAAGCTGGGAACGAATTTCGATCATATATTTTCAATCAACTTTGAGGTTGTTCAGCTCGGTTCGTTACTGCCTCGGCAAAGCTTCGTCAAACCCCCCAATAAATGGAGAAACCATCCCTGACGTAGGGGCGCCAAGGCTTGCCTAGTTGGGGAATATGCTTCTGGAGAAACCCACGCCCGCCGCCTTCCCCAGCCTTCTCTTCCATGCGTCGACATATGATTCGACAGAATCGCTGCAAAGAATGAAGAGGGGGTTCGGGGTGTCGAGGGGGCATAGGTAGGGGGGGAGGCTGGCCTTGATATTTGGAGTGGAAAGCGATGGGCAGTCTTCCATTCGGTAAAAGCCCTTTCAAGCGGGGTCAACTACTGGCGCAACGACTAACTTCCTCGCGGCGGAACCCCAAGCCTTTTCCTGAACATACAGTCCGTCCCGATTCCCCGAATAGTACCCAAACGAGCCAAGCCTCGCTCCAGCCCGTATTTTATCTCGGGGGGCAGGGCATCCCCTAAGCAAGCCCACACCTACCCCTCCCTAGCTCCGACCAAGGCTGGGTAAATCTCGGGCTGCCAGCCGAACCAGAATGGAGGCTACCCAATGCACTTGTCGTTCATTGGCCGAACGATACCGCCGCACTTTCATGCGTCACGCCCACCCCACCCCACCCCACCCTATCCCATTCATCCACCACGCATTTCCTGTGTGTGTGTCACACCATCCGTTCGTCACTCAAACATGCTAGTCTTGTCCCACAGTTGTACTGTACCAGTTTCCCTTCAGTGTGTGTCTTGATTGACATTTCAAGGGCTGCTCAATTTCAGTCGCTGTAAGATAGCTAACCCCTTATCTCATTGCTTTGCTTCACTCTGTCGCACAAAATTGCTGCGCTTCTGCATTCCTCAACACACACCGCTGTGCCCCACAGCACACTTCCTACCGCCAGTCACAACTCTTCAACAACTATCCCGCTACTCGCACGTTTGGCAGTTTATTCCGGTTGCGTGCAACCATTAACGAATACCCGTTTCGAACCGTCCGGGGAAGTCCCATGCGATCCTCAGCCACCAAAAATATATATCGATTTATATTGGCCGTCTGACGCTTCGCTCCAAGCGTTAGAAAACCCAGGATCGAACTTGCAAACTTGAAGTCTTCGACTCAGATTCAACGTCAGGTGCATTGATTCAACGTTTCGCGTACGACAGCATGAGGCGATTCATGTTCTTCTCCGTCGCCTTCGCTCTATGTCTTCTCGCGACGCGTAAGTACGCTACTATGTGACGCAGGCCACCTAAGTAGCTTTGTATTACGCCATGTCAGGTTACAGTCACGTCCCAGCCACGTGACAGCCAAGTCTCTCTGCTCCCATATGCGTTCTCGCAACAAGTGAGTGCGTGGCTCGTTGTTTCCGCTTGTATCTTAGGTACATGTGCGACTCGATTGTGCTTTCTTCACACGTTTGTAAGAGACGTACGCATCTCGTTATATCGCCTTGTACTAACGCGCGCGCGCGGCCACTTCGCTCTGCGCGCATGCCTTCGCGCGCACCCTGCGCCACATGTGCGAGCGGTCGCTTTCACGTATGGGAAAGGGGTAAATAAACGATGCAGCGTGGTTGTTCGTTATGCCGTGTGCGCTTAAATGTTTAAGCTCCTGATTTTCAGCGTGAATCGACTCTCTGATTATTAATTTGCGACATGTTAAGGCGTTTTGTGCGCGCTTATAGGTACATTGCGTCGCTTCGTATCGAGTCGTTTATTGTTCACTTGCAAGCTCGACGCGGGCCCAATGCTTGGATGAGTGTCTTTGTCGTCCCAATTTTTAGTCAACTCAAAAATCTTGTCAGTGCTTTTATCGAGTCGTTTATTCTTCATTTGCAAGACCGATGCGGGCCCGGTGCTTGTATGGTTACTATCCTCTCATCCTCCATCCGTTGCCCTCCTTATCCCCCGCTCCCTACACGCTCGCCACGTCCCCTGCGTATGTTTTGTGTCGATTTAGAATACGCCGTGATTTGTCGTCCCCCGTCCTTTCCCCGCCTTACCCCCGAACTCCCCACCCTCCCGACGGCCCCTGCACCACCCGACCCCACGCCCCGCACGCTCCTGCAGTATCCGTGCTCTCAGCATGTCCGTTTCAACAGACTCCTTCACCGTTCTTAACCGTTCCTCCCACGCACACCACCCCCTTTCCCCCTTCCCCACCGCGCCCCTCCGCCCATCCCATCCCCACTTTTGCAGTGCCCGTGAAATCAGCCACCTCGTCGTTGCAGGGGCTGGAGTAGCTTACAGCATTACAACAACCAACCCGTTCCTCCCACTTACCCCGTCTCGCTCCCCTTTTCCCCGCCGCGCCTCTTCTCCCATCCCATCCCCCCATTTACAGTGCCCGTGAAATCAGCCACCCCGTCGCTGCGGGGGCTAGAGAAGCTTACAGCGGGTTTGAAGAGCAACAAGTATTACAGGGACTTTCAGGAGAAGCCGCGTCAGCTGCAAATGGTTCGGATGCGGAACGAAGGAAAAAATTATGTGACGAAGCAATCCGCCAATAAGATGGCCAGCTACACCAAGATGTGAAGTGAGTCGGGCATCTACTAATTAATCTAACATGCACAGTAAGTTGGGCATTTATATAGTTTTTTAGATAAGATGGCCAGCTACACTAAGATGCGAAGGAGAGTATGACAATTACACTGAGATGCACAGTAAGTTGGGCAATTGTATTTCTGGAACGTCCCAAATTTCGTAGCCGAGCCATCCGCCGATACAATGGCCAGCTACACCAAGATGCGGAAGAAGACTAGCAATTACCAAAGTATCTCGGCAATTACAATTGCTTGCACTGCAAGTCGGTCAATTACATTGGTACGCACAGGGTAACACTGTTGAAGCAACACTGCCTTCCAGCTTCCCTCCTGCTCTCCATTTCCCCCTGCCCCTGCTCTCCCCCTGCTCTCCCCCTCCATACATCTCTTCTTTCAACCCCTTCTTTTTTCACCCACAACGTGTCCCATGAGGGGAAGGGACTCACAGGGTAACACTGCTGGAGCAACACGTCCTCTACCCTTCCCTAATGTCCTCCCATTCCCCTCCCTTCCTGCCCTGCGCCAGCGCCCTGCCCTGCGCCGGCGCCCTGCCCTGCGCCAGCGCCCTGCCCTGCGCCAGCGCCCTGCCCTGCGCCAGCGCCCTGCCCTACGCCCGCGTTGCTGCCCTGTGCGTCGCACCCTACGGCAGCCCGCGCGTCGCGCGCTGCTGCCCCGCGCGTCGCGCCCTACGGCAGCCCGCGCGTCGCGCGCTGCTGGCCCGCGCGTCGCGCCCTACGGCAGCCCGCGCGTCGCGCACTACTGCCCCGCGCGTCGCGCTCTGCTGCAGCCCGCGCGTCGCGCCCTGCTGCCCTGCGCGTCGCGCCCTGCTGCAGCCCGCGCGTCGCGCCCTGCTGCCCTGCACAGCGCGCGCCCTGCTACCCGCGCAGCCCAGGCCGAGCCGAGCCGCCCTACCCGACCCGATCCGCCCTCCTGCTCGTGCTACTACTGCTGCTGGTGGAGGTGCTGCTAGGAGTGCTGGAGGTGCTGCAGCCTAGCCTCACCGGGCCGCTCTACTGCTCTTACTGCTGTTGCTGCTGCTCGTGCTGCTGTCTTCCCTTCGTATCGCCCTCCTCCTCGCGCGCCTCCTTGCTTATCCGCTATGACTTCCCTTCGTAATAATAGTGGGAGTGGTGACGGCGGTGGTGGCAGCAGTGGGAGTGGTGGCGGCCGTAGTAGCAGTCGCTGTGGAGCTGTTCGGTGGGGAGTGTCTGGCGGTGGCCAGATGCAGCTGCAGCGGCGTCCGCGCGAGACCCTTACGCCCCAGCAGCTTAGTGAGTGGTACGCTCAGAGTTGGGGGTGTAGGACTACTGTTCGCTGCCCGTACGTCATTTGCACAGGTGATCGGGCTGGTCAGACCTGCGGGACAGTTAGTCACACAGTGTCCTGTTGCTTCTCCCGTCTGAGCGACGCTTGGCGAGCACGGTTTGGCGACGAGACTGAGCTACCCCTCTGGCTAAGCTTCTTTGAGACGGAGTAGATATATTTGCTCTAGACTATGACACTATCCTTACTGCCATGTATGCTCTGGCTGGTACTATTGAGGGTAACTGCTACTCGTGTGTGCAACCTGATCCAGGTATAGACCCAGGTATAACGCCTGGAGCCCTAGGTGCTAGTGAGTCTGCTCTCCCTAGTACTGTGTCCGCTCCCTGAGGCCTTGCACACCTTCACTCTTGACTCAGGTGCTTCCCGCTGTTTCTTTCGCGACAGTACCACAGTCACACCCCTCCCTGCACCTGTCCCTGTCTCACTGGCTGACCCCTCTGGGGGCCCAGTGCTTGCACGGTCTACGACTGTACTTCCGTGTCCGGTGGTCCCGTCTGTTGAGCTGTCTGGTCTCCACATTGCCTCGTTCTCTACGAACTTGGTGAGCACCGCCGTCCTTCAGGATCACTGGGTTGACACCTTTACTCCTGGAGGACAGCGTGTGGCGATCTGCACGTGCTCTCGGACCAGCCGTCACCTGGCCACGTTCACACGTGCGCCTGGGTCCAGTCTGTACACCCTCACCACTGCGTCGCGCTACACCCCTTTGTCTCCTCAGCTGTACGCGTCTGCTCAGGTAGCTACTCAGTGTGAGTGTCGCCGCCTGTCGCACCAGACTCTCCTTTGGCACCACCGCCTTGGTCACCCCTCCTTGCCTCACCTTCGTGGCATGCACTCTCGCTCCTTGGTCTCTGGTCTTCCCAGGTCTCTGCCCTCCCTCCCTCCCTCGCCTGCGCCGCCCTGCATTCCTTGCGTCGAGGGGCAGCAGCGCGCCGCTCCTCACTCCTCCTCGTTCCCTCCCACAGAGGCTCCTCTGCAGACCCTCCACCTGGACGTGTGGGGCCCAGCCCGCGTCCAGGGACAGGGCCGCGAGCGGTACTTCCTGCTGGTGGTCGATGACTACATGCGTTACACCACGGTCTTCCCCTTGCAGCGCAAGGCGGATTTCCCTACTGTCCTGATCCCTTGGATCCGCGCTGTTCGTCTCCAGCTCCGCGAGCGGTTCGAGTCGGACTTTCGTGTCCTGCGTCTGCACTCTGACAGAGGTGGTGAGTTCACCTCCGACCTCTTGGCAGCCTTCTGTGCGGAGCACGGCATCCGCCAGTCGTTCACGCTTCCGGCCTCTCCGCAGCAAAATGGGGTTGCTGAGCGCCGCATTGGCTTAGTCATGGAGGTCGCTCGTACCTCCATGATCCATGCGGCGGCTCCCCATTTTCTGTGGCCGTTTGCGGTCCGGTACGCCACGCATCAGCTCAACCTCTGTTCCCGTGTCTCCTTGCCGGAGACCTCGCCCACACTGCTGTGGACGGGGGAGGTTGGCGATGCGTCGCGATTCCGGGTCTGGGGTGCTCGTGCCTTTGTCCGCGATACCACCGCGGACAAGCTCTCCGCTCGCGCCATTCCCATCGTCTTACTTGGTTTTTCTCCTGACGCGCCTGGCTGGCAGTTTTACGACCCCACCTCGCGCCGTGTCTTTGCGTCTCAGGACGTCACCTTTGACGAGTCTGTCCCATTCTACCGTCTCTTTCCCTACCGCACTGCCCCTCGCCCCCCACCGTCGCTCTTTCTCGCTCCAGGTCCTCCCCAGGTAGACCCCCTCCCCGCGCCAGGTCCTGCTCCTTCAGGTGTTTCTCAGGTAGACCCTCCCGTGCCTGCGCCTGTTGAGGTCACTGGTGACTCAGGTCCTGCTGGGGGTGGTCCTGCTCGGGGTGCTGTCTCTGGGGGTGCTGAGCCTGGGGGTGCGGAGTCTGAGCGTGAGGAGCTTGGGGGTGCTGAGCCTGGGGGTGCGGAGTCTGGGGGTGCTGAGCCTGCGCGTGAGGAGCCTGGGGGTGCTGAGCCTGAGCGTGAGGAGACTGGAGGTACTGCGCCTGGGGGTGCTGCGTTTGGGGGTGCTGAGCCTGAGGGTGCTGTCTCTGAGGGTACGGCGCCTGCGAGTACTGAGACCGCTGGTCCGCGGTCTCCTTGGAGTGGCCGCCTTCGTCCGCGTGTGCCTCTCACCTCGCAGCAGCTGCACGACTGGTACGGTCGCCGTGAGGGCCGCGCTGCTGGAGCTAGGGGCTCTGCAGCTGGAGGTGTTTCTGCTGTCGTCGCTGGAGCTGGGAGTGGTGCTGGTACTTTGTCTACAGGAGGTTCTGGAGTCGCTGGTCCCGGAGGTGCTCGTACTGGAGGTACTTGAGCTGCTGGTGCTCGTACTGCGTCTGGGGGTGCTGCTGCTGGAGACGCTGAGGATGGAGACCCTGAGACTGGAGGTGCTGGTTCTGGGGGTGCTGCTACTGGAGACACTGAGGCTGGAGACCCTGGGACTGGAGGTGTCGGTTCTGGGGGTGCTGCTACTGGAGACACTGAGGCTGGAGACCCTGGGACTAGAGGTGCCGGTTCTGGGGGTGTTGCTGCTGGTGACGCTGGTCCTGGAGGTGCTGGCGCTGGAGGTTCTGGAGCTGTTGGAGGTGCTGGAGCTGCTGGAGGTGCTAGAGCTACTGGAGATGCTGGAGCTGCTAGTGCTGAGGCACAACAGAGCCACGACTGTTCTTCACTCCGCCGTCTAAGTCGTCTCTGCCACCGCCCGACACCGTACTTCGCCAGGTTCTTACCCTCCCGTCGTCTACTGGTCTTCCGTTACAGCCTGGCTCACCGCTGCCTGCTCCTTCCCCTTACACTGAGCAGCCTGGAGGTCTTGCTGAGCGTCGTGAGCCTGCGTCACGTCCTGTCTCGCCTGTTCGCACTGGTCGCACTGATCGTACTTGTAGTTGTGTTCCTCGTCCGCGTCCGCCGGCTGTCCCCGGCACACACCTCATGGCTCTGCGTCCTTCCTCTGCTCCGCAGCCTGTTTCTCTGCCGTCTCCTCCTGCGTCTTCTCTGCCTGACGTTCCGGACCCTGAGTCTGACCGGTTTCGTGCTGCACACCCTACTGTCACGCGTCTGTTAGCCACTGTTGTCACTGACCCGTCGTTTGAGTCTGCTGCTGCGTCTGCCTTAGTCGCTGAGCTTGTTGACTTTGCTGCTGCCTGTCGTCTAGACTACGCCGCTAGTCTTGTTGTTGAGTCTGAGTCTGTCTGTCCTCCGTCCGTCGGGGGTGAGTGTGCTCTTAGCACGGACGTCCTTGAGGACAGGCACGAGGACCTTGAGTGTCTTGCAGCCGCTGCGCCTCATCTCGTGGCCATGCTGCTTGCCCCTGAGGGAGACCCGGATGCACCAGACATCCCGACCTCGCGCTCTTACGCTGAGGCGATCGTGGGTGAGTACTCCTCTCAGTGGCTGACAGCCATGGACGCAGAGATGGCATTCTGGAAGTCCACAGGCACTTACGTCGATGAGGTTCCCCCTCCTTGGGCGAACATCGTCGATGGCACGTGGATTTTCAGGGTGAAGCGGCCGCCGGGTTCTCTGCCTGTCTTCAAGGCTCGTTACGTTGCTAGAGGCTTCAGTCAGCATGAGGGAGTTGATTTTCCTGACCTTCTCCCCTACCCTGAAGATGACCACTCTTCGGGTGCTGCTGCACGTTGCCGCTCAGCGTGACTACGAGCTTCACTCTCTTGACTTCAGCACAGCCTTCTTACAGGGCACCCACCTGGTACCCAGTGGAGCCTCCGGCGGCCAGTCTACGGTCTCCGCCAGACGCCTCGTGAGTGGCACGACACACTAAGGACTACACTTGCGGCTCTTGGGTTCGCTCCTTCGACTGCTGACCCGTCGTTGTTTCTGCGCACCGACACTTCGCTGCCGCCGTTCTACATCCTCGTGTACGTCGGCGACTTGGTCTTTGCCACTGCTGACACTGAGGCTCTCGCCCTGGTGAAGTCGGAGCTGCAGAAGAGACACACGTGCACTGACCTGGGTGAGCTGCGCAACTACCTTGGCTTGCAGATCACCCGGGACAGAGCACGCCGCACCATCACACTGACTCAGTCACACATGGTGCAGCAGGTCCTTCAGCGCTTCGGCTTCACCTGGTCCTCCGCACAGTCCACTCCTCTAGCTATTGGTCACTCGCTCTCAGCTCCACCTTCGGACGAGTCCGCAGAGTCGAGTGGTCCTTACGCAGAGCTAGTGGGCTGCCTCATGTACCTGATGACCTGCACTCGACTTGACCTTGCGTACCCTCTTGGCCTTTTGGCTCGCTACGTGGCTCCTGGTCGGCACCGAAAGGTGCACATGGATGCTGCGAAGAGGGTACTGCGCTACCTGTGCAGTACGTCGGGCATGGGGCTCGTGAAGGGAGGACGGAGCGACGTTGTCCTCACTGGACACTCTGACGCGTCTTGGGTTGACGACCAGGCTACGCAGCGATCGTCACAGGGTTACACGTTCAGCCTTGGCTCTGGCTCTGTTTCGTGGCGGTCCACGCGCTCGTCTTCTGTTCTCAGCTCCAGTTGTGAGGCTGAGATCTACGCCACAGCCATGGCTGCACAAGAGTTACGCCGACTCACCTATCTGTCGACTGACTTGGGAGAGAGGCCTCGTTCTCCTCCAGTTCTGTACGTTGACAACAAGGCCGCCATTGCCTTGTGTCAGGAGCACAGACTGGAGCACAGAACGAAGCACATCGCTCTGCGTTACTTCCTGGCTCGAGAGTTACAGCAGCGAGGTCAGCTTCGTCTTGCTCACGTGGCCACTCGGGCCAACACTGCTGATATATTTACCAAGGCACTTCCGTCTGGTGATCATCAGTGCTTTTGTACTTTGTTAGGCCTTGTGCCTACGTTTCCGCACTTGCTGTAGTCTCTGCTTGTACTGTGATCTATATATATATACCTGCATGCTTGCTCTTGCTAGGTAGTGATCACTGTGATTCTATTGTTGCATATATATCTCTGCATGTGAACTGGCCTTGTGGCTCTTTGCTTGTGCTCAGTGTGTGTGGTGACGTTGTGATCCACCCTGAGCTTGCTTTGCTTTTCTTGACTGGTCTTGTGACCCCTTGCTCTCCCCCACGTTGCCTATGGGGGTGTGTCAAACTTATATGTATGTTATATAGTTGTGTAGGCTGTAGTGGGGTAGCTGATATGGGGTACAACCCCATCAGGGTTTCATATTTGTACCAAGCCCCGACTAGTCATTCTCATTCCAGTCTCTAGTTTCTGACAAACACACCCCCCCTCCCCCCCCCCCCCCCTGCAGCGGCCATAATGTGCGTCATTAGGGGGAGGGACTCACAGGGTAACCAGATTGGCGAGGATCATGCCTTCAGATTCTTCTTCATCTTCCTTTTTGAGAGGTGTGATTGTGTTTGTCCCGCTGCCACTTCATACATCTTCAAGAATTTGGATTCTTCTTCATTCTCCTTAAGAGGTGCACTTGTCGTTGCTATTTCTAGTAACCGCTGTGCTCGTTCGGATCTACCCTATCCTCATTGTACATAACGCCTACACCTGTTTATTAAGAGCTTCTCCATTCTTGTTACTCAAAAGATTTCCTCTCTTCCCCCTCTCTTCTTCCCTCTTTCCTCCCTCCAGCAAAGACGACGGTGATCATGACGGTTACTATGGCGGCTTTGTGAAGTTGAAGGAGCCTGAGTTCCCCATCGCAGTTGTTATCAACACGGGCTACAAGGGTATACAGTGATTGATTTCGGCGCCGAAGTCACCTGGTACAACGCGTCCCTATCCCTAAGCTTCGGGATCATCTCGTGGTTCCCGAAATCGCCCGCTCCTCTCGGGTACAACTACTACTTCCGGGGGTCGTGGATTGGGAATGAGTGTGCTGACTGCTGCTGATGGTTCGGTACTGACAGATGCGATATTAGCAATTGCAAAGAAGACTCAAACGCATTATGGCGCAGTGGCTAATTCCAATTTCCCAAGTGGTGCCGTTCGCGGCCAATGCGGGGTGGACTCGTCAGGAATCGGCGGGTAGCTGCTCCCAGGGAACAGGGTAATCGCATGGGATCAGCAAATGACTGCTGGAGACGTGCCTCGTGAAGGGGGGAGGGGCAAGAAGGGTGGATCAGTGGGGGTTGTTATGGTGTAAGGGCTGCATCTGCTGGTTGCAACGGTTTTTGAATGAGGGTCGAGGAAGGGGGGTAGTTGGGGGGAGGGAAGGGTGGATAAGGGGGTGTACCATGAGGTCTGGAGATGCATCTGCTGGATGCAATGGAGTTAGAATTGGTGGTAAAGAGGGGAAGTGATATAGTGGGTCAGGAGGATCCGGAACAGCTGCTGGCACATATCGGGTTTTGGGGAGGTCGGGCGAGAAGATTATGTACGGGAAGCAATGGATGGGTGCAGTATCACCATGGTCAGACGACATTTGTCTGAATGTAGTTAATTTGAGCTGACCTTTGGAAGTGTGTATTTGAGAGAGTTGATATGGGATGTAGTTGCTGTCATGAAGTTGTTAGTACAGTTTTACTGTAGTAGGAATCATAGTATTTGGTGCATGGACCTGTAAAGCGGTCGATCCGAAGCCGATTGCCGTGTCGCATTTGCAATTTGGCATTGTGGCATATGTGCAGATTCCTTCTCTTCTGGCGCTGGGAACTGCTTTCGGTCGTCGAATTTCACTGAGGTTTGGTTCGGCACTGTCTTGGCTGCGCTTCCGAGGCAAAGAGAACCAATCAGCAGGTGCGGACCGTTCCGAACATACAGGCGCTCATGGTGGTTTGGCCTACCTGGGCAAGTGTACGGGGGCTTGGCTCGTGAAGAGCCAGCCGCCCCGCCGCCTTCTCGACTATCCGAAACCGAACCCTAAACCATGGACGCCTGTGCCGAGAGACAGAGCCAAGGTGGTGGGGGGGAAATGGGGAGAGGCCATTGGGCGCAGGGAAAAAAATCGGTAGTTGGGGTAGGGGCGCGGAAGGAAGTGGTCTTTCCCCCGGGGCAAATACCCCCAGCGCAGCTTTTTGCATCTTCGCGAATCCGAAGCCTCCCCCGAACGGAACTCCCGTCCAGAATGATCTCGTATGTTTTGTTGCCAATCAAGGGTTGGTTATACTAGCGCCGCCTAGACTAGACACAACGTGGGTTGTACGAGCACCACCCACTGGCGCTGCCCTTGACACAGTGCACGCCACACTAGTCGTCGGTCCCCTTCCGATTCTCCTGCCCATTGTGTGTGTGTGCATCAAGTGAGCAGAGCGAGACCAGCGCGTGAGTCTTGTCGTGGTGGTTCAGAGCGTGCGATGTGGTAACGTATCAATACTGGTGCTCACGGCTTACACCATCAGCGCTATCTTCTTCACGGCTGACTTCGTTTCTTTCTTCGCATTTCCGAATCGCCGCAGCACATAGCACGTAAAGTACCGTCAGATACGGCGTCCCTTTATCCCCGGTTTTTGTGACTCGTTCCGTGCGTGCAATCATTCACGAATATAGTAGGAGCCTTCCGAGGGACCCTCCAACGCTTTATAAGCTGCTACTTCTTATCTTTTTAATTCTCCCGAGCGCGCAACTAATCAGTAGAATATTTTTTTCGGTACTGTTAGAAATCTCTATCGTTGGGGGCCTCCATTCAGCATCGCGTCGCACCAGCATGAGGCGCTTCGTGCTCGTCTCCGTCGCCGTCGCCGCTCTATGCCTTCTCGCAACGTGTGAGTCCGCCTCTCATTGTCTTTTCTCGAGGCGCCTCAAATTTCGTCTCCGCCGCCGTCGTTCTATGTCTTCTAGAGGTGTTCGGGTCCGAGTTTCGAGACATCTCGCTTCGTGCTCGTCTCCGTCTCCGTCTCCGTCGCCGTCGCCTCCCACTGTACGACTATCGCACCGATATCGCTTTGCACTAGCGTGCAAGCGAGGTTATAGAGCGATCTATTCCGTGCGTGGGTATATAGCGGTTGTTGCGCGTTAACGCGCGGCTGGTCGCGCGGCTACTGCAGGCGCGGCTATTCCTTTGGTATCAACCCTGCAGTACCGGTGCTGTCAACCCATCCGTTTCCCATCTGTTCAAGGTTTGACCCACTCACAAACCCCCCACTACCTCTCCACCACGCCTCTCCTCCCATTCCCCCTTGCAGCAACCGTGAATGCAACGGCCAACCCGTTACAGCAAGGCCTTGAAAAGCTTACAGCGGGGCTGCGGAGCAACAAGTATTACAGGGGCTTTCAGGAGAAGCTGAGGCAGCTCCAAATGAACCGGATGCGGATAGAAGCTAAGAACTACGTGACGAAGCAATCCGCGGACAAAATGGCCAGCTACACTAAGATGCGACGTGAGTGGGACAATTACACCAAAATGCACAGTAAGTTGGGTTTATTATTATTGTTATTTTTCACCCGTCTCAAATTTCGGGCAGTCACCATAGTATTTCGGCAATTACAATTGCTTGCACATTAAGTCGCTCAATCACATTGGCTTGCAAGGGTGATGTTCTAGTCTGACTCAAAAGTCGCGTCGTCACATTGCGATTCGCGAACAATGGCCAGCTACACAATTGTGCAGTAAGTCGTGCAATTACAATTGCTTGCACAGTAAGTTGGAAGTTCGATGTGAGCGAGATTTGTTGTTCGGCTTTAAGCCGCCCCAAAACTTTTTTTCCCCGCTTTTAGTGACTGCAGATGAACGAGCTTAGTGGCTAAGCATTGAGGCGCCTCAACCCCCCTCCCTACCTCTCCCCCCCACCTCCCCCTTCCCCCCTCCCACTTTTGAGTGACTGCAGGCGAGCGAGCACTGTGGCACGCGGAACCTGCTGGTCACCTGCTGGTCCCTTGCCAACCCCTCATTCCCCCCCTCCACCTTCCCCCCCTCCCGCCCCTTCTTCCTTTCGACTCTGTGCAGCGGCCATAAGTGTCCCATGAGGGGAAGGGACTCGCAGGGTAACACTATTGGAGAAAAACTGCCTTCCCGCTCCCCACAGCCCCTGTCTCCCCGTTCCCCTCTCCCCCTGATCTCCCTTTCCTGCATCCCCTCCAGTCCCTCCTTTGCACCAGCCAAAACGTGTGTCATGTCATGAGGGGAAGGGATACGCAAGGCAACACTGTTGGAACAACAAGTCCTCTCCCTTCCCCAATGTCCCCCCATTCCACTCCTCTCCTGTTCTTTCTTTTCCAACTCAAAAGTTCCTTCGGTTCTCCCTTTCTAACCACCCTCCCCACTGCAGCGGCCATAATGTGTGTCATGAGGGGAAGGGACTCCAAGGGTAACCAGATTGGGGAGGATCATGCCTTTGGATTCTTCTTCATCTTCCTTTTCAAGAGGTGTGATTGTCATTGCTACTGCATCCTCCCGTTTATGAGGTGTGCTTGCCATCGTTACTTCATCCTCCTTTTTAGGCGGTGCGCTTTTTAAGAGGTTTTCCATTGCAGCGGTTATCCCCACCCCACCTCTCCCCTTCTTTCCTTCCCTCCCGATAGAGACGACGGTGATCATGACGGCTACTACGGGGGCTTTGTCAAGCTAAAGGAGCCTGAGGTCCCCATCGCAGCTGTTATCAACACGGGCTACGAGGGGGAGGACGGGTCTACAGTGATCGATTTCGGCGCCGAAGTCACCTGGTACAACGCGTCGCGATCCCAAAGCTTCGGAATCATCTCGTGGTTCCCGAAATCGCCCGCTCCGCTCGGTTACAACTACGTGTTTAGCGGGTCATGGGTCGGAATGAGCGCGCTGACTGCTGCTGATGGCTCGGTACTGACCGATGCGGTGTTGGCAATTGCGAAGAAGACTCAGGCGCATTATGGCGCCGTGGCGAATAGCAATTTCCCCAGCGGTGCTGTTCGCGGCCAATGCGGGATCGACACGTCAGGAATTGGCGGGTAACTGCTGCCAGGAAACAGGGTAACCGTATGGGATCGGCAAATGGCTGCTGGTGAAGTGCCTCGTAAGGGGGAGAAGGGGGGGAAAGGGTGGATCAGGCGGGGTTGTTATGGTGCAATGACTGCACCTGCTGGTTGCAATGGGTTTCAAATAGGTGGTCAAGGAAGAGGGGTAGTTGGGGGGAGGAAAGGGTGGATACGGGGGTTTACGATGAGGTACGCAGATGCAACTGCAGGATGCAATGGAGCTAGAAACCGAGAAATGGAACAGCTGCTGGCAAACATTGGGTTTTGGGAGGCCGAGAGGAAAGAGCATGCACAAAAAGCAATGGCTGGGAGCACCATTGTGAGACCACATTCGTCCGAATGGGGATAATTTGAGCTGACCCTAGGATTTGTGTATTTGATAGAGTTGATATAAGATGTAGTTGCTTTCATGAAGTTGTTACTACAGTTTAACTGTACTTGAAGTATAAATTGGTGCATGCACCTGTAATGTCAAATATTCTAGCCATTAGTGGGTTGTGCTGTAGGGGGTACAAACAGTTAGAGGTAGGAATATGTACCCCAATCCATTCAATGCAACGCATTCCGCTGTAGCCGCTTATTGAGATGGTATCAGCTAGGTTCCTCGCTCCTAGGCCCTAGGTTTAGGGTTTAGTTCCTTCCCTAGCTCTCCAGACACACCAGCGCGCTAGCGCGCTAAGCCCTAAGCCAGCCAGCTGCCCCCTAACGCGCCACGTCGCCGGTCGACCCGTAGGCGCGCCCGTCGCCTAGCCCGCCCCTCAGGCCGCCCGTCGCCTAGCCCGCCCGTTGGGCCGCCCGTCGCCTAGCCCGCCCGTCGCCTAGCCCGCCCGTCGGGCCGCCCATCGCCTAGCCCGCCCGTGGACCCGCCCGTCGCCTAGCCCGCCCGTCGGGCCGCCCGTCGCCTAGCCCGCCCGTAGACCCGCCCGTCGCCTAGCCCGCCCGTCGGCCCGCCCGTCGCCTCGCCGCGCAGCCCGCCCGTCGACCCGCCGCGCCGCCCGCCCGTCGACCAGCTGCGCAGCCCGCCCATCGACCCGCTGCGCCGCCCGCCACTCAGTACGCCGCCCCGCACGCCCCATAGCGCGCCGCGCCGCCCACCAGCCAGCGCACTGCACCGCCCACCAGCCAGCGCACTGCGCCGCCCACCAGCCAGCGCACTGCGCCGCCCACCTCCCGGCGCACTGCGCCGCCCACCTACCCACCTGCATGCCTCCCCGCCTGCCCACACGTTACTGATTGTCTCCCCCCTCCCGCGGCTGGCAGCCGCGCTCTCTCAGTCTCGCCCTCTATGGCGACCTCCCGAGTACTTCGTTTTGACCCTGAGGGGAGACCGATTGATTTTAGTACGTGGCTTACGCAGGCGCAGCGCCACCTTAAGAGCCAGCGGCAGGATGGCGTGCACCTGTTCGCACACGCGTCCGGCACTCAGACCGCCCCTCCGCAGCCTCGGCCGCTGCCCACTACCCCACCGCCTACTTCTGAGCAGGAGGCCGACTACCAGCGCCAGCTCCTCGCTCGTGACGTGTGGGAGTCTCGTGACGCCGCTTCTCCCGCCGACAGAGGCAGTCCACTTCGCTCAGGTCGAGTCTGCTGCAGATCTGTATAAGGCTATTGTTGCTCGCTACTCCACTCCCTCCTCTGCTTCGCTCAGTCGCCTCCTCGTACCCTTTATCTACCCTGACCTCGCCTCCTTTGAGACTGTCTCTGACCTCGCTACCCACCTGCGCTCTCTTGACGCTCGCTTTCGCGCTGCTTGCACTGAGGACCAGCTTGCCCTTGCCCCGCCCCCTATGTGGCTCACTATTCACTGGCTAGTCACTCGCCTCCCTGACCGCCTAGCCACAGCCCGCGACGCGCTTCTTCTGAAGCACCCCACTGAGCTTACCATCGATCTTCTTGAGACCGCTCTCTCGAAGATCGAGAGTAACCTCCTCACTGTTGCCTCTGCCTCTTCCGCGCCTCCTCCTCGTCTTTTTGAGGGGTGTGCAATACCACAGCTTCCCACCTTCACTGCCTCACTTGCCACCCCCACGTCTTCTGCCTCTGAGGAGACGGCGGCTGTTTCTGTCTCTGGCGGACAGAAACGTGGCAAGGCCGGCAAGAAGGGCGGAAAGGACGGCGGGGGTACTGGAGGTGGTGCGGGTAGTGGCGGTGGCGGTGGAGCAGGTGGTGGGAGTGGTGGTGGGGGTGGCTCGGGCCCTGACGGCCCTCCTCTCGACGGTGGAGTTTTCACTGGTGGTGAGGGGTTCCAGCAGCAGCAGCAGCAGCCGACTTCTCAGCAGCTGCCACCGCCTGGACAGCAGCAGCGGCAGGGACAGCAGCAGCAGCGCCCGCCACAGCGGCAGCCTCAGCAGTGGGGCCCGCCGCAGCAGTGGGGCCCGCCGCAGCAGTGGGGCCCTCAGCAGCAGTGGAGGTCTGCGGGTCCCCCGAGCACTGGGCGCAGTGGCGCCCCCTCCAGTCAGGGACCGTGCTCAGTCGGCCGCGACGTTGGTCCCTGTGAGTACTGGATCCTTACGGGTCCTCGTAGGGACTCGTACTGTGGCCGCCACGACTACTCTGCTGCACGCTGCTTCAGTCGTCTCGACGACCTCTACCGCTTGCACCACGGCCCCTCCGCTCCCCCGCCGCCACGCTGGGGGACGCTGCTTGCTCGTGGTATTGCTGTTTTTGATATGACTATGGATGATGCTAGGTCTTATGCCATGTATGCTGATGTTGACTATAGTGCTCCTGGATCTGTGTACTTGCCTGTACCTAGCTTAGGATCTTTGCCTGTTGCTAGAGTAGGTGCTAGTGTAGGATCTTGCTTAGCTACTAGTACAGGTACTCCCTCGGCGGACGCGTCTCTCTCCTTCACACTGGACTCAGGAGCGTCGCACTGCTTCTTCCGCGACTGCACGACTCTCTCTCCGCTACCGGCGCCTGTCCCTGTAGCACTGGCTGATCCCTCGTCAGGACCGGTCATTGCGACTCACGCCACTACACTCCCGTGCCCGGCTGCTCCTTCCAGTTCCCTGACTAGCCTCCACGTTCCTATGTTTTCTAGGAACCTGGTTGGTGTGGGCACCCTGGCGAGACAGCACGTCGGGGTCTGGGTTGAGCCTTCTGGTGACACTGCAGTCTGTGTGGACGGTGACACGTACGCCCCCTTGGCCACGTTTCACCAGGAGCCGGGCTCTGGTCTGTACACCCTCCGCACCGACACTCGTCAGGTTCCTCCGTCCCACCAGGTAGCCGGGTCCAGTCAGGTTGCTGTGTCAGGTGTAGTTGCTGCGTCGTGCTCGTGTCGGTCGCTTGCCCACCCCTCCCTCCTCTGGCACCACCGCCTTGGTCACCCGTCCCTCCCTCGTCTCCGCGCTATGTCCAGTCAGCGTCTTGTATTAGGCCTCCCCCGAGTCCTTCGTCGCTCCCGCCGTCCCCAGCACCTTCGTGCGGTCCTTGTGTCCAGGGTCGGCTGCGCGCCACCCCCCACTCCTCCTCCCTTCATCCAGCCACCGAGCCCTTCCAGACACTGCGCTTAGACGTCTGGGGCCCCGCTCCCCGCCTTGGCCGTGAGCGGGAGAGTTTTCTTCTGGTGGTCGTTGACGATTACTCTCGGTACACCACCGTGTTCCCTTTGGCGAAGAAGTCCGACGTGACTTCTACGCTGATCCGGTGGCTGCTCGCCACCGAGGGTACTCGAGGTCGTCGTGTCAGTTGTCTCCACTCCGACCGTGGGGGTGAGTTTCGCTCCGGCATTCTCGCCAGATTCTGTGCTGAGCAGGGCATCACCCAGTCCTGGACTCTTCCAGACTCTCCACAGCAGAATGGGATTGCTAAGCACCGCTTAGGCCTGGTCATGGAGATCGCCCGCACCTCCATGATCCACGCCCGCGCGCCCCATTTTCTGTGGCCCTACGCGGCTCGGTACGCCGCTCACCAGCTGAACCTCTGGCCTCGCGTCTCTCGGCCAGGGGCTTCACCGACCAGTCTTTGGACAGGGTCCCCTGGTGTTGCGTCGAGGTTTAGTGTCTGGGGCTGCTTGGCTCTTGTCCGCGACACCTCTGCGGACAAGGTCTCATCTTGCGCCGTCCCCTGTGTCTTCCTTGGTTTCCCAGAGGACTCCTCTGACTTCACCTTTTACCACCCTCCCTCCCACCGGTTCTTTGACTCTCGTGACGTCCGTTTCGACGAGTCCGTCCCCTACTATGCCAGGTACCCCTGTCGAGGTCTCCCGGTTCCCCCCCCTCCCCTCTTCCTGGCTCCAGCTCCTCCTCCTCCCGCCCCTGCTCCTCCGGTACCCCCCCCTGTTCCCGCTCCGTCTGGTGTGTCCCACGCTACTCCCCCCCCCTCGGTACCCCCCCAGGTCTCTCCTCCTTCCCCACAGTCGTCCTCACAGCCTCCGCAGCAGCCGTCAGCGCTTCCTTTACCGGCCACTGCGGACTCTGAGGGTGTTGGTGCTCGAGGTAGGGCTCTGGCGGTGCTTGTTCTGGGGGTGCTGGCGTTGGAGCTGTTCGTGCACCTACAGGAGCCGCCCGTTCTGGGGGTGTTGGCGTTGGCGCTGAGCGTGCACCTGCCGCGGCTGCCCGTTCCGAGGGTACTGGAGCTGGTGGTGGTGCTGGAGCTGGTGGTGTTTCTGGAGCTGGAGAGTCTGGGGCTGGTGCTGGTGCCACTGGAGGCACCACGACTGGGGTTGCGATTACACCTCCTACAGGTACTAGTCGTGCTGCCGCAGGGGGTACTCGCTCTGGGGGTGCTCAGCCGGGTCCTGTCGAGGGTGGAGCCGGTTCTTCTTCGTCGTCTCCTGACACCACTCCTCCTCCTCACCCCTACCCGACTCGACACCAGGCCCGTCTTCGTCTTGCGCGCGAGGAGCAGCAGCGTGTGGAGAGTGAGAGGTTGGAGGTTCAGCAGCGGGTGGAGCGTGAGAGGTTGGAGTTGCAGCGAGAGCAGCAGCAGCAGCAGCAGCAGCGGCAGCCGCCGCCACAGCAGCAGCAGCAG